TCTTATAAGTCAGAACATGATTTGACCTGCTTGAGTCAGTTTACAGAACACAATTTCCAATCAAAGCTATGTGTTCTTCCTCTTAGTCCCCTTCTGAATCTGCCACTGTTGAGTTTATTAATTGATAAGTTTTAAGAAACAATTAAGTCAAATGGTTATTTATCTTAAAGGATCTTGCATGTATTTCGTGTGTATTTTATCTGACTTTTCCATACATATCATTCATATCATATGGCAATGCCTGACTTAAAAATTTCAATAAATTTAGTTTTTGACTGATATTTTTAAGTCAGAACATGATTTGACCTATTTAAGTCAATTTGTCAGAACATAATTTGACCTGTTCAAGTCAGTTTGCAGAACAAAATTTCCAATTAAAGCTAGGTGTACTTCCTTTAAGCCCTGCTCCTGAATCTGCCATTTTTGAGTTTATTATTTGATAAATTTTTAGAAACAATTAAGTCAAATGGTTATTTATTTTAGGGGATCTTACATATATTTCCTATGTCTTTTATCTGACGTTCTCATACATTCATTAATATCATATGGAAGTGTCCAACTTTAAAATTTCAATAAACTTAGTTTTGGACTGACTGTTTTAAGTCAGAACATGATTTGACCTGTTTAAAACAAAATACATTTAATATTGAATATACCAAATAAACTTTTTTATAGTCCTCATTATTGTGACTTTAGGGGACCTTATTTCCTGTGTCTTTTATCTGGCTTTCCCATACATTTTTAAATCAATACGACAATACTAGACTTAAAAGTTGTATTAATAAGTTTAGTTTTGACTGACTCTTTGAAAGCAGAACATGATTTGACCTGTTAAAGTCAGTTTACAGAACAAAATTTCCAATCAAAGCTAGGTGTTCTTCCTCTAAGCCCCCCCCCCCCCCCCCCTAAATATGAATCTGCTACTGTTGAGTTAATTAATTGATAAGTTTTTTTAGAAACAATTCAGCCAAATGGTTATTAAAATTTTATTTTTTTTGGCAACCACAAGTTCTATGTGTAAACTTAATAGAAAAGAAAAGTCATGAAAATACAGAAATAAAATAAAATTGTAAGATAATTTGATGAAAATCTTTAAAAACAAAATGCATTTGATATTGAATATACCAAATAAACTTTTTTATAGTCCTCATTATTGTGACGTAAGGGGACCTTATTTCATCTGGCTTTTATCTGGCTTTCCCATACATTTTAAAATCAATATGAAAATCCTAGACTTAAAAGTTGAAATAAGTTTAGTTTTGTTTGACTCTTTGAAGTCAGAACATGATTTGACCTGTTAAAGTCAGTTTACAGAACAAAATTTCCAATCAAAACTAGGTCTTCTTCCTCTAAGCCCCCCTTTTTTTCCCTTTATCTGAATCTGCTACTGTTGAGTTAATTAATCATGTTAATTGATAAGTTTTTTTAGAAACAATTCAGTCAAATGGTCTTTAAAATAATATTTTTTACAACCAAAAGTTCCATGTGTTAACTTAACAGAAAAGAAAAAGTCATGAAAATACAGAAATAGAATAAAATTTTAAGATAATTTGATGAAACTTGTAAACAAAATACATTTGAATATTACATATACCAAACAAACTTTTTTATAGTCCTCATTATTGTGACTTTATTATTGGGTGTCTTTTATCTGTTTTTCCCACATATGACAATGCCAGACTTAGAAGTTGCAATAATTTGTAAAAGTATAGTTTTTGACTGACTCTTTGAAGTCAGAACATAATTTGACCTGTTTAAAACAAAATACATTTAAATATTGAATATACCAAATAAACTTTTTTATATAATCCTTATTATTGTGACTTTAGGGGACCTTATTTCCTCTGTTTTTTATCTGGCTATCCCATACATTTTTAAATCAATATGACAATACTAGACTTAAAAGTTGTAATAAGTTTTGTTTTGACTGACTCTTTGAGGTCAGAACATGATTTGACCTGTTAAAGTCAGTTTACAGAACAAAATTTCCAATCAAAGCTAGGTGTACTTCCTTTAATCCAAGAAAGTCCTTGCTTTCAGACTGCTTCTGAATCTGCCATTTTCGAGTTCCTTATTTGATAAATTTTTAGAAACAATTAAGTCAAATGGTTATTTATTTTAGGGGATCTTAACATATATTTCCTGTGTCTTTTATCTGACGTTCCCATACATTCATTTAATATCATATGGCAATGCCCGGCTTAAATATTTCAATAAATTTATTTTAGTTTTGGACTGACTCTTTTAAGTCAGAACATGATTTGACCTGTTTAAAACAAAATACATTTAATATTGAATATACCAAATAAACTTTTTTATAGTCCTCATTATTGTGACTTATGTTGACCTAATTTCCTCAGTCTTTTATCTGGCTTACCTATACATTTTTAAATCAATATGACAATACTAGACTTAAAAGTTGTAATACGTTTAGTAAGTCAGAACATAATGTGACTTGTTTGAGTCAGTTTGCACTACAGTATTTACCTCAATGAAATATTAAAATAATAAATGTTTTGCTCTTAATACATTTAGCTTAAAGTGGATGAGAATATATCTTTTATTAACATAGTCTTATCATGAATAAGTGTCTCGTTTTTCCTTGGAAGATTTGTAGTATTGTCATGGTACTAGTAAATGTATCCAATATTGTATTTTGTAAATCTTTTGATATTCAGAAAATTGTATGATCCATTTTTTCTCACCTGGTTTTTCTTTGTATTTTGAAATAATTGAAAGTGATGAGATAAATATATTATGTTTAGATTCTAGAAAGGAGAAGGTATGATGTCAGATGAGCCCCACTTTTTAAAACTCTTTAATTCGAAACTAGTAATCACCATATTTTTATGGAGATTGATAACAAAGTGGTAGTAATGACTGCTTCAAATCAGAACAAAAATGACCTCTCCAAGTCAAAATGCATTAAAAAGGGGCATAAATCTTATTAGAATATGAAGATATTAAGTCACAATATTCTGTGCAAAAGCTGACCTGTGGAAGTCATTTTATGATAAATTAAAGTTTGACATAAACTGACCTGTACAAGTCATATTCTGTTGAGTGCAAGAAGGGAGACAACACTTACATCAAATTATATCTGACCTATGGAAGTCATTTTATTCTGACTTGTTTATGTCAGAGCTCTGACTGTATTACATTAGATATGAAATATCTGAGGTAGATGTTTTATCAATAAATCATGTTCAACATAATTGTTTTTATCTATTATATGACCATTAGAACCTAAATTTGGGAAATTTTCATCTTTTCCAATTCCTGATCTTTTTTCAGCCAGTGGTCTTGTAGTCCCCTTGAGTGCTTGAGATTGTCTTTTTGCTTAGCATATAGCTTTTCAGCATATATATAAGAACCCAGGCTTATCAGCTCAGAATTAAAATATGGCAATTACTAAACCATGAAACTATGTATTGTTAAAGTATCTTTCATTATGGATCCCTTTTTTCATGGCTTCTGCAAATACTATATATTGATCATTTATTCATAAATTGTACATGTTGTAATACAAAATAAGCCTTTCTGAAAACCAATATACCGTAGAAACTCGCCTAATAGTCGATCCTATTATAAGTCGGGTGCCCTTCTCAGCTCCAAATTCTAAGGATTTAGTCTTGACCCTCGTATAAGTCGGACAAAATTTGGGCATTTTTTTTTTCAGCTGACAGTAACTGAGCGCCGGTAAAACCAATGCAAATCCAGGAATAATATTCATTTCTGCATTAATGTTTGTTTGGTTTGAATTGAGTTGATGCTCATCATGATAATTTATATTGCTGTTAATAATAAAGATGTATTCATTTCTCTTGTTTTGTTCACTGTTCAAATGTTTGATAAGCCATGTGTTGTTTACGTAATGCATCAATGATTTTGTAGGGTATGACTAACAACCTATTGTTTGAGAAAAGCGAATATAAACCAATATGAACCTGAAAAATTTAAAGTCAATCAACACTTGATGAAAATAGTTTTCACAGCATACATAACTCGGTGTTAAATGAGCATGTACACTTCATAATTCTTATTATATTGTGATGATTAAAGGAATTTAAAAAATTAAGTGAAGCTAATCAATATATTAAAATAACTAACTCCAACTCATTAGTGTCATCTGTTTACCTATCACTGATAGTTTTCACACCTTTAGTAAATACAACTCTTTGTCTCTTAATTGGGGTTATCAATGGATTATATTGGCTTGTCAATCAATTTTGTAATTTTTGTTTACCTGAGACACTTTAATGAATAATATTTTGATTTTGGGAATGAATCTTAAAATTATTTTTTGATTATTATATGATTTATAAGCATTGAATTGATATCATGATATCACAATAATGACACATAACTCCGCTGAAAACATCCTTTCACATATTTGGTACATTGTTATCTCCTTTTCATTTTTGGTTCTTGGCTCTTCTTTTGGGTTTATAGGAAAACCATGTGACCATGAAAATCAATACACAAACCGGAAACAGTAGAATTTCAACACGAATTTGCAGAAAATGTTTACCAAAGAACAAATAAAACACAAAGACAGTATTGTAGTCATTTATTTTCAACAAAAACTTTTTATTTATTGATTTATGTAGGTTTGGCAATCAAAAACGTAGTTTTGACCAGGAAATTCACTCCTGACCACTTTTCTCAAGCTTTGATTTTTCCTCTGGTCGCTAGATCTCGTCTATTAGTCGGTCCCCCTCTCTGGATTATGAATTTTACTCCCAATTTTCCGACTAATAAGCGAGTAGGAACGGTATGTATGTTAACTCTGCTTTCTCTTCTAGTTCACCTGAGACAAAAACTGTGGTTTGGTCAGGTTCTTGTTCTTGTTCTTTAGTTTTCTGTATAGTGTTTTGTGGACTGTTGTATTTTTGTTGCATTTTTTTTGCTATGGCATTGTCAGTTTTGAATGTCCATTTGGTATCTAAAGAATCTTTAACAATACCACCATGTATTCATTTAACAACTGAAAAAATAACTAAGCTTTTTCACATTTATTAAATTGTAGCTAGTGTCATTAGGATATGCACAAAAACTATTATTTGTCACTATTATGCATCAACCCACATATCACTGAATGCTGTTGGATGTCTAGAGCAACACCAAAATATCCTTTAACTGTGTGTTTCAATATGAAAGACAAATTATCTCCCTTTGTTTTTCACCGACTTGCATTTGGTGTTACACCTTCAACATTGTCTAATGATTTTAGAAGTCTAAAAAGTCCAGCTGCTTCTCTTATACGACTAAATTCAATACAGAAAGCCTGAACTTCAATAAATATATCCTGAAATAAAAAAAAAAAATTTGGAGAAGTTTTTTATTTGGTAAATAAAAAAATATTTCAAAACCACAAGAAATCACTTAAGCAAAATCCTAAATAAGGAGTCTCAAGTAACCTCTTAAAACAATCTATATATGTAGACACGAGTTGTAGCCTAAATGAAACTCTATATAAGGTGGCATAAGTTATCGCACAAATAGAAATAATTATAGAAGGTGACAAGTTATTGCTTAAACTCTTCGGAAATTCTGAGGAAAATGTAACCACTCACAATTAATTACTTTGATTGCCTCCCATCCCCCCAAATCAACAGCCCTAAAGGTAGTTTGTGGTCACATCAACTAAATTAATACACATGTTCATTATGAAGTGAAGTGATTTAAATATACAGCAGATCTTTGATAGGCAATTGTCTTTATGTTTTTGTCAATTGAATATGGTGCTCGTTAGCTAAATGTTCTGAGTGTTTGTCCATCACTAGAGACTGTGCAGAGACCTCTATATAAAAATAAGGAGATGTGGTATGATTGCCAATGAGACAACTATCAACCAAAGTTGAAATGAAGTGGATTTAAGCAATTGTAGGCAACCATACGACCTTCAACAATGAGAAAAACCCATACTGTATGGTCGGCTATAAAAGGCCCGACATGAAAAATATGAAACAATTCAATTGAGAAAACTAACGGCCTAATTTATAACAAAACAATTTACGAAAAATAAATATGACAACCACTGAACTACAGGCTTCTGACTTGGGACAGGCACATATGGAATGTGGCAGGGTTAAACATGTTTTTGAGCGCTCAACCTAGTTATCTAGTTATCTTTTTGCCACTGTACTTTAACAAACCAACAATCAATCAATCTAGTTATCTAATTGGTTATTGTTTTGTTGTCTTTCATACTTTGTATTTACCCCTATTCTCCTTTTGATCAATATCATAACAGAATAGTATCCCTTGCTATAGGTCAATACATGATTTTCAAGATTGTCTGCTGTAACATGAAACTAGAGGCTCTAAAGAGCCTGTGTCGCTCACCTTGGTCTATGTGCATATTAAACAAAGGACACAGATGGATTCATGACAAAATTGTGTTTTGGTGATGGTGATGTGTTTGTAGATCTTACTTTACTGAACATTCTTGCTCCTTACTATTATCTCTATCTATAATGAACTTGGCCCAGTAGTTACAGTGGAAAATATTTTGCAAAAATTTACAAAAAATTTACAAAATTTATGAAAATTGTAAAAAATTGACTATAAAGGGCAATAACTCCTTAAGGGGTCAATTGACAATTTTGGTCATGTTGACTTATTTGTAGATCTTACTTTGCTGTACATTATTGTTGTTTACAGTTTATCTCTATCTATAATAATATTCAAGATAATAACCAAAAGCTGCAAAATTTTCTTAAAATTACCAATTCAAGGGCAGCAACCCAACAACGTGTTGCCTGATTGGTCTGAAAATTTCAGGGCAGATAGATCTTGACCTAATGAACAATTTTATCCTGTCAGATTTGCTCTCAATGCTTTGGTTTCAGAGATATTAGCCAAAAACTGCTTTTTACCCTATGTACTATTTTTTAGCCATGTCGGCCATCTTGGTTTGTGGGCGGGGTCATCGGACACATTTTTTAAACTAGATACCCTAATGATGATTGTGGACAAGTTTGGTTAAATTTGTCTTAGTAGTTTCAGAGGAGAAGATTTTTGTAAAAGATTACAAAAATTTACGAAAAATGGTTAAAAATTGACTATAAAGGGCAATAACTCCTTAAGGGGTCAACTGACCATTTTGGTCAAGTTGACTTATTTGTAGATCTTACTTTGCTGAACATTATTGCTGTTTACAGTTTATCTCTATCTATAATAATATTCAAGATAATAACCAAAAACGGCAAAATTTCCTTAAAATTACCAATTCAGGGGCAGCAACCCAACAACGGGTTGTCCCATTCATCTGAAAATTTCAGGGCAGATAGATCTTGACCTGATAAACAATTTTACCCCATGTCAGATTTGCTCTAAATGCTTTGGTTTCAGAGATATAAGCCAAAATCTACATTTTACCCCTATGTTCTATTTTTAGCCATGGCGGCCATCTTGGTTGGTTGGCCGGGTCACAGGACACATTTTTAAAACTAGATACTTGAATGATGATTGTGTTTAAGTTTGGGTGCATTTGGCCCAGTAGTTTCAGAGGAGAAGATTTTTGTAAAAGTTTACGGACGACGGACGACGGACGCAGGACGACGGACGCAAAGTGATGAGAAAAGCTCACTTGACCTTTCAGGTCAGGTGAGCTAAAAACACCTTAACAGAAGATTTTTTAGTAACTAGAGAAACCGTTTTATGACTCAAATATCATCTGGTCACCACTGCACAACTGAGATTCGCCGGTGTTAAGTCCTAAATCATGAAATTTGAGCATATGAAACTTACCTTTACGTCTATAATTTTATTACGAATGAGAGATTGCAGAAATACACAAACAAGTCTAACCAATCTGTTCTGTAGGTATCTATCTTTTATTGTCTCACATGTAGATATACAGTTAGATATATACAGGTGGATGAACTCTGATGGTAATTCTACTGCCTGGAATAAACAACACATTCATATAAAAACACAAAAAACATGTAGATACATATACATGTAAAACACATGAAAATAAACAAACATATGTAGATAAATAGAAAATCATAATGTAGATGAATATAAAACATATGTAGACAAATGTAAAACACATGTAGATAAATAGAAAACACATGTATATAAATGTAAAACACAATCATATTGATTTATAGAGAATAGATGGACAAACTTTGTTGAAAAATGTGTTATAATGTAGATATGCAGGTCAGATATAATATGCATATTTAGTGAACATAATAATAATTGGGACATGAAAACCTAAATCATGAAAATTTGACAAATATTCAAAAATTCAGTATACAATAAAATGCATAAAATCAACCAATGAGATATAGTTAAGAGTCTTATGTCTGTCATGTACTGCTAGGTAGCTGTGATGTCAACTATTGGTAAATGTGAAATCAGCATTAATAATTTCTTTCAACAGACTCACATAATAATATCATTATTTATAATGTTTCTTAGCAACATTTAACAGTTCATGATAACAGACTATTTGTACTGTTGGGTTGCTTGTTTATTTACATATACACCACATCACTTTTGAATCATCTTTGATAGTTAAGTTTATCAAAAACTCATCTAGACTTTGGTTATTAGATCTTTAAATATAATATGGATATTTGTCTGTTGTTGGTGACCTTTAGTCTTTTTTTTTATTTCAATGGGTTGCTTTCTCTATGAAGTGCACCCCATGCAGCACGTCACCCTTTTTAAATACTATATAATCATAACTTACTGTCGTTAATCTGTTAACAACTTCCATTGAATGTAATGACATTTCCATATTTACAAGAACAGAGAAATATCTACAAAATAATTCAGCCATCTTGTACTAACATTTCAAATATTAAAACCCCAACAGTTGGCTGGGGTATAGAAAAGGTCATCTCCTGGACTTTTCCCGTCCAGCAGTGAAACTCTAGCTAGCTAAAAGAGGAGCTAAAATAATACTTTATTAGATGCCTTGTGTAGAGAGAGTGCCACACTCTGTACATTAAAGAACCTTTGCAATACTGTAAACCAATAGATTTTGCAAGCAATTTATTTTTGTGCTCAAATGCAAGGCAAAATTTCTGCCCCTATCTAACAAACAATAATTTTCTAGTCAAAATAATCGTCCTTCATCCCATTCCACCCATTTGACAGAACCTACCTATTCATTAATGGTTAATTTGTTAAAAATTTTACTATTTTCTATTTTACTATTTTTCTATTTTCAGCAATAAATCAGGCCAAATTATTGCACCCTTTTTTTAAAATTTTTATATATAAGTTACTAAATGTTGAATTCAATCCATGCATAATGTAACAATATGACAATATATAATAGATGAACTTACTCAGTAATTTGATTCGACTGCATTAATCTCAGTAACACTTCTATGGCAACCAATGGATTATTTTCAACAAGGTCAGGTAACTGGAATAAATTACAGCTTAGGTTTAAAAAAGAAAAAAATCAAATTTAATTTATTTTTATTACATGGAATACACACAGGATATACACATTTGTATTGTAATTCAAAGATATTTCATAAAACAAAGTAAAAGACAAATGCATTATTGTATATACATGTTATTTCTTATTCATTTTCATGATGACTTCAACCTACCCAATTCATATGCAAAATCTTTCATAAACAAACTGTGTCATTGCCCATTTACTTTTGTTTGACCTTAAGGGCATACGATACAGTTACAGGGGAGAATATGACGTTGTTAACGTTAAATGTTATTTTCGCGACGTCAAACTGTGACATATCGGGAAAAGATGCATTTTTCAACTGATTTTTATCATTCAGACTGATTTAACTTGAAAATGACATTAGGTTTGATTACATATGAAGATTATTTGTACCATTTTTTATGAAAAAGTCACAGATGAAATTTTCTTTATATTCAGCAAAAAATCCCGTTTTTTTTTCTAAAATCATGAAACTTTGATAAAAATTAATTATTTCCAAAGAATTGTTATACAAATTTAGAGCATACTTATGTAAATATAAAAAAGAAGATGTAGTATGATTGCCAATGAGACAACTCTCCACAAGAGACCAAATGACACAGAAATTAACAACTATAGGTCACGGTACGGCCTTCAACAATGAGCAAAGCCCATACCGCACAGTCAGCTATAAAAGGCCCCGAAATGACAATGTAAAACAATTCAAACGAGAAAACTAACGGCCTAATTTATGTAAAAGATAAATGCATTATTAAACACCATTTTCCAAATGTTTTTATAAAAATCCGCTTTTGATAATATTTTAAACAAAAAAGTTAGGTATGTCTATCCAAAGGATAGAAATGTCCAAAAAAAACGAAATTTTGAGTAAAAGTCTAAAATTTCGACCCCATTTATCTTTTAAAGTAGCACATGAAGGTATATTTTTTATTACATATTTGAATTGACTAGGTGAAAAATAGCCTGTATGCAAATTTCCTTCAAAAAAAATCACTGTGGGATCAAAACTGTATCGTATGCCCTTAAACATCTAGTAACCATGAATCAATACTACAGGTACATGTATATAATGTTATTTCACAAATCAATGTGTGCATACATTTTTGGGATTATTTTTAAATTGAAAAAAGCAAAATTAATCATTGCCAATTCGTGAATTAATGCTATCAAAATTTAAAATGCAAGTATTATTTTTTGCAAAGCCTTTCCTGTCGCAATTTTCGCAACAATAAAAACATCACACAATATTTTGAATTTACAGTACAAAGATCAGTATGGAACAGCATCAAATAAACAAATTTTTCCATTGAAAAAAGTAATGAGACCAATAATATTACAATCTCAATACTATAGCAAAATTCCATACCTTAGCTGGTGTGAGACCTATGTGGTATACTAGTTTAGGATCTTTTTCAATTTCATCCATTAACTGTTGCTGTTGAGGGAGTGACAGAGCACCTTTGAATGCCTTTGCCATCAGTCTACGTACTTCCACACCAGCAGAACTACTGACACACATTGTAGAATCCCAGGCTATATTGTAATCTCCCTCTACAGGATTCAACCAGGCAAACTGTAAAGAAATGTAAGAAAAAAATCAATCTAGAATTTTTTTGAATTTGTTAACCACATATTTTAACATAATATTTGTTATCTGTTTGAAAAGTTTGTTTTGACAATGTTTTCAATTCTACATCAACAGATATATATATAGATTCTACCACTGCATCGAGTGTGATAGGATATTTCTTCACTCGAGACAGTTAAATTTTCAAGTTAAAAAAGCAAGGCTTCCAGAGCTTTTTAAATGATTAAAATTTTACTGTCGTGTATTGCAGGAGATTTGGTGATTTGTTTCTCTAATGATTTTTGAATAATTTTTGGCATATATTCACTGATCTATAAAAAGATATGTTCTTTAAAGGGGCACTAGCTACAAGATATATAAAAAATCTGATATATGATTTTTTTTTTGTTCAATCATTAATGAAAGTGAAATAGTGAAATAATTATTCGCTTTTAGCCGCCAGTATGGTTCAATTTTGTCAAAATAAGCTAAGAAACATTGATGATGAATTATTCACTTGCAAGTGAATAATTCGACCTCATTGAATCATTATTCATGTGAACTTCAATTTAACCCCTTAGCAAAAGACGGATAACGCATAAATCATGCGTGCTCAGTTATTTAAAGGAAAAGAATGTCAACATTGAAAGTGAAACAAAGGTAAATCATTTGATTGACTTATCCGATCCACAAAAAATCATTCTTATACAGGTAAAAACGATGATAAACATATATTTTTAATCTATAATATGAAATTAAACAGACCTAGAAAAATCCAATAGCACAAGTTCGCTTAATATATTTATATCTTTATTTATGTTTACATCGCTTATATGGTCATCGATTACATCGAATGACTTTGGAGGTCAACTCGATAGTTAATTAGATGGCGTCTAGACTAAAATACACACGAAACGAAGCTACCGTTCCTACTCGCTTATTAGTCGGAAAATTGGGAGTAAAATTCATAATCCAGAGAGGGGGACCGACTAATAGACGAGATCTAGCGACCAGAGGAAAAATCCATGCTGGAGAAAAGTGATCAGGAGTGAAATTCCTGGTCAAAACTACGTTTTTGATTGCCAAACCTACATAAATCAATAAATAAAAAGTTTTTGTTGAAAATAAATGACTACAATACTGTCTTTGTGTTTTATTTGTTCTTTGGTAAACATTTTCTGCAAATTCGTGTTGAAATTCTACTGTTTCCGGTTTGTGTATTGATTTTCATGGTCACATGGTTTTCCTATAAACCCAAAAGAAGAGCCAAGAACCAAAAATGAAAAGGAGATAACAATGTACCAAATATGTGAAAGGATGTTTTCAGCGGAGTTATTGTGTCATTATTGTGATATCATGATATCAATTCAATGCTTATAAATCATATAATAATCAAAAAATTATTTTAAGATTCATTCCCAAAATCAAAATATTATTCATTAAAGTGTCTCAGGTAAACAAAAATTACAAAATTGATTGACAAGCCAATATAATCCATTGATGACAAAGAGTTGTATTTACTAAAGGTGTGAAAACTATCAGTGATAGTTAAACAGATGACACTAATGAGTTGGAGTTAGTTATTTTGATATATTGATTAGCTTCACTTAATTTTTTTAATCCTTTAATCATCACAATATAATAAGAATTATGAAGTGTACATGCTCATTTAACACTGAGTTATGTATGCTGTGAAAAATATTTTCATCAAGTGTTGATTGACTTTAAATTTTTCAGGTTCATATTGGTTTATATTCGCTTTTCTCAAACAATAGGTTGTTAGTCATACCCTACAAAATCATTGATGCATTACATATACAACACATGGCTAATCTAACATTTGAACATTGAACAAAACAAGAGAAATGAATACATCTTTATTATTAACAGCAATATAAATTATCATGATGAGCATCAACTCAATTCAAACCAAACAAACATTAATGCAGAAATGAATATTATTCTTGGATTTGCATTGGTTTTACCGGCGTTCAGTTACTGTCAGCAGAAAAAAAAAAGCCCAAATTTTGTCCGACTTATACGAGGGTCAAGACTCAATCCTTAGAATTTGGAGCTGAAAAGGGCCCCCCACTTATAGTAGGATCGACTATTAGGCGAGTTTCTACGGTAAGTGTTATCATGCCCATGTCCTGTTAACTGTTTATTTTAGACTTTTAATAGCACTACAAAAGTCTAAAAGTCTGAAAAGACCAGTTTTTGTCTTAATTTGCATGAACTTTTACTCGACATTCTCCAAAAGTATGACTTGTGTCTTAATTTTTCTTGACAAATTCTCATTTATATTAAATTTGTATGAAATTTACTCGACATATTCTCGACATTCTGAATATGGTCTTAAAATTTCTTGACAAATTCTTGACATTTGATTACTGTCTTGAAATTTCTCGACATATTCTCGACATTCTTATTTTTTCTCAGTATGGCTTGACATATTCTGAACATTTTGAATGGTGTCTTAAATTTACTTGACAGTTCTGAGTTTTACAAATCATGACCAATATTCATGATATAACTTTAATCTTTATTTCTCTTTATATGATATACTGTTGTTTCAAGTTGCACTTCTTTACAACAAAAATAAAAGTTGGGCATGTAAAATAATTGAAAATTTGGGTATATAAATATTTTTACAAATGCAAATATGGCTATGAAATCTAAAGTATAAAATAATTCAAATGTGGGTGTGTTGATATAAAACAATTTCAATGTGGGTTTTTAAATAATTACAAATTTTGATTCCTAAATCTTATAAATTAAATGATTCAAACCAATCATACTGTAGACATATTTCATCCTACATTCATAATATTCAATGTTGATATGGTAAATAATTATTATACCAAAATGTGGTTTATATAAATAGCAAATTATGATGATATACAAATCATTCATTTAACAGAAGAAAAATTTGTGTAATGTCATCTGTTGGAATATATTAAGTATTACACATGGACAGGATGTTCCCCATAAAATTAAGGTATTCCACACCCCAGAGTACACGCAACTGTCAAATAGAAGTTATTGCTTTACCTGTAATCAGCCATACAACTTATCAGTTGACTGACCATGCCACTACAATTTAAAAAGTTTGTTGATAGATGAAAATGAAAATCATCATTTTGATGAAAAAAAATTGAATTGAAATGGATTTTCTTCATCAAAATTATGAAGTTAATTATTTTAACATAAAAACAAATTGAATAATTCCCAAAGATTAAAAGAAAATTATTATCTACTCCAGGAATAATAAAAAAAATGTATTTATAATGGGTCCCAACAATGATTTCTATAGAAATCATCGGTCTTATGAAATGGTTCTCAAACAGACATGCATAATATAGATCTAAACATTTTTTTCTTTTGTTCTAAAAAATGAATAAGGTTTTTGAATCAAGATGGGAACAAATTCTTTGACCTAAACGAAAGCCCCCCCCCCCCTCTTTTTTTAGCCACACAAACCCAAAAGAGATACAAGACACCTATTTTAGAAAAGCAAATTTGACTGGCAGTTTTGCGAACGGCAAAAATCTAAATGCTGTTTATCAATACCTTCGACTTATATTCCAAGTGAAAACAATTACTTAAATGTTTAATAAAAATAAATCAAAATTAAACTACATGGAGGATTATTCAGGGTATTCCAACTTAGTTGCACCAAAAGGGTATCTTACTATACCAAATTAATCCTTGATTCTTCAAAGTTGTGTTAGCCATAATAAAAAGGAGTCTATAACAGCAATAGAATGTCATAAACAGTGCAGAATAAGTCTGTTCACATTTCAGGCGAAATTTATACTGTTCGGATAGTGTCAAGACATATTTAAGACTGTCAAGAATGTGTCGAGACATATTCAGACATTATTTAGAATGTCAAGAATATGTCGAGACATATTCAGACATTATTAAGAATGTCAAGAATATGTCAAGACAGATCGAGACAAATTTAAGACAGTCAAGAATTGGTCGAGACTAATCCAGACTCTTATCAGATGATACAGGAAGTGTCGAGAAATTTTAAGACAATGTTCATACTGTCAAGACACTTGTCAAGAAAAATCAAGAACCTTATAAGACAAATTCATACTATGTCAAGAATTTTTAAAAATTATTCAAACAAATTAAGAATGTCGAGTAAAAATTCATGCAAATTCAGACAAAAACTGGTCTTTTCAGACTTTTTGACTTTTGTAGTGTAGTTTGGATAAATGATTTATATATAAATAAAGGCAACAGTATTTACATTGTTATAAATCAAATATTAAAATTTGAGTCAAATCGGTGAACATGAATTTGACAGCTAGTGCCCCTTTAAGGATGTACTTAGGTGATATTAAAAAAATCTAGAATTTAAAATTGATACTATAAGTCAGAAGAGCATTAGTTAAGGAACAAAATACATGTAAGCTAAACATATTGATAGGTAATGGAGCTCCTTTTCGAGATATTTAATTTTTAAAAAAAGGCGCGAAAAGGCTGACTCAGACTTTTACCTTATATTTTGCATTAGTATTGGGTCTCAAATTGAAGGAAAAGAAATCTAGAATCTGCTTAAATTATGGTAAATAACCTTCTATGAGCTATTGAAGTCTTATAAGAAAGAAAAATGGGTGTTATGGGGCAAAATATTTTACCCTGTATCGTAGGAAAAAAACCATACGAGTCCGAACATTTGACAAAAATTCCTAAATCTCACCTAAGTACATCCTTAAAGCATTTTAATTTTTTTTTTTTTAAATGATATCCAATCTGTAAAAAATGAAAATTCCGTTCTACCCTGCAGTTGTTAGTTTTATCATGTTTATACAAAATTTAATATTTTTCACATAAAATTTGTTTTTGTTTTAAAATAAAATTGAGAATGGAAATGGGGAATGTGTCAAAGAGACAACAACCCGACCACAGAACAGACAACAGCAGAAGGCCACCAACAGGTCTTCAATGCAGCGAGAAATTCCCGCACCCGGAGGCGTCCTTCAGCTGGCCCCTAAACAAATATATATACTAGTTCAGTGATAATGAACGCCATACTAAACTCCAAATTGTACACAAGAAACTAAAATTAAAAATAATACAAGACTAACAAAGGCTAGAGGCTCCTGACTTGGGACAGGCGCAAAAATGCGGCGGGGTTAAACATGTTTATGAGATCTCAACCCTCCCCCTATACCTCTAGCCAAGTTTGTTTTGACAAGGTTTTCAATTTTATCTGAAGAGCTATATTGTTATAAACAACAATTTTATTAATGTGATGTATCTTTTCTTTTAATTTCTCAATTGCGTAATTGGACAAATTTGTCCTTGACACAACATAGATTATGTGTGCTGATGCAGCATTGAACCCTAATCATTAATTTGCCAATTGTTTTAACCTCATTGCTTAAACTGATTAACAGAAATTGTCCTCGCAAGTAAAGTTTTGAATAGTTGTCTACAATGTAAAATTCCATGCAATAGTGCTTATATATCATGTATATCCAACTTTAACAGTGACTGTCTTTACTACAGTGAATATTGTTCAGAATCCTACCTCATCCTCAGCAATGTGTAGTGGCGGTGCAAGTCTAATGAATTCTGGCATCATACAGTTCTCTACAGGAGGTTTATTGCCTGTTAACAAAGCCTCTATGGTCTGCCTCTGTACATCAGGGTTTATAACACCAGGCTTTCCAAACTGGTCAAAACTATCATAAAATACAGAATCAGATTATAGACTAATGTTAAAATCATCAACAGCAAAGAGATCTGATAATCGATTCAGGGTATTTCCTCAATTTTCAGAAAAAAATACCAAATAATTAAGTATATTCTATTCTTCAAGGATACACAGAGCTTCTTCAATAGCGTTTCCTCTGGAGTTTTAACAAGTACTAGTTATAACAGAAGGAAATGTTGATTGATTGATTGATTGTTGATTGCTTTACGCTGCATCAAGGAAATGTTGATTTAATCAATATCTTTTTATAAAACAAATATATATATACTTTATCATGTTTATACTGTGAATTCATTATTATATGTTGGATACTAATTTTCGTGGATATCGTGGTTACAGGGGAACCACAAATTGAAATGTTCAACGAATTACAAATTTTTTATTGGAATGTATGCAGACTATGTCAACACCACGAAATCAAATATCCACGAAAATGCAACTTTTCCTCAATCCATGAAAATTGGTAAACACGAAAATGAATGAATCAACAGTAATAGAACTGTGTTCCAATGTACCCCTCTCATTTACATATTTTATCTGCCCAAGGGTAATAACCACAATATTTTTTTTTCATTCTTTTTTTGTTTCATTAATATCCTACAAGAAATGTCGAGTGAGGAATGAAATGACTTTCTTTGCAATTTCCCTTCGAATTATCATTTCCAGGGGACACAACTCTTATAAAAAAAAAAGAAAAATCAGTGCAATTTTGTGTACTTGTCTGAGACATTGATGATATAAACCTAAAATATATATCTTATAAAAATCATACAAAAATGAAGGCATGAAATCACTTACACTTCAATTTTCCATATAAATTACATTTTAAAGGGACATAATTACTAAACCATATGAATTAATCATGAATTTCAAGTATAGGTTAAGGATTTCTTTCTGCTTCAATCAAAAACATCCATTTTTTAGTAATAAACAATATTTACCTGGTGGGTTTATTTTCAGGGTCAGGAACTACACAAGGAATAGCAGATTTACTCTGAGCTGGCATCTCTGACTGTCTTTCTGCCAATGCTAACTGTAGACCACTGACATCAAAATTCTAAAAAGAAATATATACCACTAAAAGGAAAAGATCAGCCATACTTTCTATAAGGGCTATTCCAGAATAAAATGTAGACGGGGGTTGGAAGGCCGTTTTCTTCTGCATCCGCCACCCAGACAATTGTAATTGAGAATCATAGTGCATCATAGTGTGAAAAGTTGCTCTGATACCCATCACCCATGTATAATTAATATAACCCCCATTCTTTTTTTTTCTGGAATAGCCCTAAGTAAAAAATATTCAAACATTGTTAAAAGTGATGAGGATTTATTACTTGTTCTTTAAAGTTTTTGAAACCTGAATTTGACTCTAAACTTATATTATATAAATCAAAGATTAGATTACCCTTCCTTTAACTGACTCAGTGGTCCCATGGTTGTGTGTTCGCCTGGAGTTCGTGAGACCATGGTTTTGATCACTGACTGCATCAAACCAAAGAATGTAAAATTGGTATTCGCTGACTCTCTACTATGCAAATCATTAATGAGTCAGAGCAAAGACAGGTTGGCTTTAGCTTAGCCTTAGGAAATTTGTGTCAAATTAGAATTAATATTTTAACATTTTATGTTTTTTAATAGGAACCTTGTTAAGTTACCAATTATTTGAAAGACTTTACCTGCATATTCCCAACATCCATCTGGATAATTTGTGGTGGAGTCTTTTTGAAAAGCTGAAAAAGTATGGAAACATGTTTTAAAGGTTCTTATGTTACAGAGTTAACCATGGCCATAACAACTATGACATAAAGAGGGAATTTAAAAAGCAACATGAATGTGACTAGTTAAGAAAAAATTGAAAACTTTTCTTACATGTCTAATGGATTTAGATGACTGTAAATCAACTTGTTTTGGCGAATACTTAATTTTGCTTTTGGTCCCTTCTAGCTGACTTCACTGGATTTTGTCATCTGCTTGATGTATTTATACAATTTGCTTGATGTACTTATACATGTATAAATGGCATTATTTTTTTACTAGCAAAGTCGTAAAAATTAATTGCTCGCATAGATTATTTGGTTTTTAGTATATATATATATACATGGTACCTAAATGAATCGAATGTTTGTAAGTACAATTATTTATGCATTAATAACTCGTCAAAACCCCTTTTCCAGTGTTTTTGCATTCATGCCTGTTTTGCTTTGAGATACATTTTTTGTGTGCATGTTAATGTATTATATATTTAAGGATAGTATGAACTTTCTCTCTATTTTAAGTACTGCTTCCTCTGTACATGCTGTTGTTCATATTGTATGTATATATAACAAACTAATTAGCTAATCTGAGTATTCCCAGAATGCCTTAAAAATAATTCCAAAGTTCTTTTCTATAAATGTTAGAAGGGACTAGTAAATAGTCCAGATAGTAATGTTAATTTCAAAATTGTAAATACAAATTTGTATTTTTCCATAGCCAGGCTTACAAGTTTTTGTTTTAAAAAAAATTCCAAAGTACCTCTTTTGATGGACTAGAAATAAGCTGTGACAAGAAGTATCTTTCTGATGGTGAAATTGCTGGTATTGCCCAGTGGAGATCAAACTGTCCTGCATCCTGGTTCTCTGTTGGAGGATTCTAAAAATACATTTCCTTATTATTCATTTGTAATACAACTCTGATTTCCACATTTGAGGTAGGGAAAACTTCAAGATAGTTCCTTCCACCCTCTCCCCCTTTTCAGCCTATAGGATGGACATGCTATTTCTTTCCTCTGTCATACTAGCATATAAAATATCTTGGAAAATTAGTTTCACCATTGGTATTCTTTATTTTTTACAAAATCTGAGCTTAAATTTGAGTGGCTAGAAAGTAGCTTCCAATAGTGGGAAGGAATGATAATATCCAACATTTATTCATTTTAAACATTAAATTACCAGTTTCATTTTCTGACATTTCTTATTAATTCAACTGAATTCATATGATAAGGAGATGTAGTATTATTGTCAATGAGACAACTATCCGCCAGAGTTCAAATGACGTGGATGTTAGCAATCATAGGTCATCGTACAACCTTCAACAATGAGAAAAACTCAAGTTTTAGAAATTATATCTATTTAGAGTCAATCCATATTTGTTTGATTATATTAGAATTTTCTTGTATCAAATCATTTATTCTTTCCTGCATTTGTGTCCTAGCATCTATTGCTTGTATTTTACAAGAGAGGTAGAAAATCAAGACACCAAAAAAATCCTTTACAACATTTGCTTCCAAATTTCTATTTTGCTTTAAACATGTTAAAATAGTTTACCATTTTAAGAATCTGTCAGAATGGAAATACAATGTACATAAATCTTTGAAAAAATGTTACAGTCTTCAAGACAAACATTTGAATCCACAGGCCCGAAGCTAACTTTTACTATAATTTTAGATAGATTCTATGGGCCTGTAGACCTAATTCTAACAGGTCCAACAGCAATTTTACAAGCCTGGGCTGTTGGGCCTGTGGTTAAGCATGAAGACTGTGTTAGAAAATGTTTACACACCAGCAAATGAACAAATACTGTGGCAAAGGGATTAGCAGCTATGGGATCTGTTCTGTACATCTCATATAGAACAAAGATGGCTGCCAGCTTCTGTGAGGGATGTGGCAGTAAGTCTCTGTTCTGTAACAGAAGGACCTGGAAAAAAATAAAGTTTACTTTTTAATAAGTTTATTTATGTTGGCAGAGCTTTCCATCTATAGTGCAGTATCATATTTCTAGAACAAGTACATAAGTTGAACACTTTAAGGTTTATTAAGTTGTCTGATATAAATATTTTAAATGCATGTCATAACCATGGTAACGGTCAAATTAACAAGTATTTAACCTTTATTTTAATTTATCAGTAATCAAACATTGAATACTACTTGGATATTTTTACAAAACAAAGAAAAAATGATTTTATAGCTTTCAACATGTTCAATGATGGAAAAGGGATCATTTGAGATAATCTTCACTACTTGGAACATTAGTTGAAGTTCATTTAAGATATCATTTGTATAGAAAAGTCCTTTTTACATGTTTTTGTCATAATATATCAAAAAGTAATTTTTGGCATCTTTCATACCAGTTCCTTCAGCCAAAATCTTGGTTTTCTTATTTACCATGTTTACAATTAAAAACATGACTTTTCCAAGCAGACACAACAGTTTAAAGATTTTTAGGGTTTTTTATTCATATTGCTTTTCAAGGTCGAATTATCTCCCCTTACTCTTCTCCAAAAATTTACTTATGCAAGTTAAGTTTTTAAAAAACCCTAAAATTCTCAAGTTTTGAGGTCAAAACAGGCCAAAACAATTTTTTTCAGTTTTGCTAATTTCATTATGAACTTTTTATCTCCAAAATTAAACAAAGAAATCAACTGCTTAGGGATGAATGTTAAGTAACTGTGGAAGGCCTTCAAAATTGCTCCCTGGAAAGACAAATACAAAAGTACACTATACAGATCTAATTAAACACTCCATTACAGCAATGAAGTCATGAAAGATTAAAGAAAAGAAGAAAATAGGACAATCTGAACGTCTAAGGGATAAAACCTACCTCCAAAATAATTTACCTTTACAAGTAAATAAAAATACACTTGTATAAGTATTGTCCATGACTGACATACATGTATCAAGTTGTCACTATTGAAAAATGTCAAGAGCTTTGAACAAAGCTATCTGGTTCAAAATGAATTGTAAACATCTTAATTAATTATGGAAAAAAATATTAAGCCTACCAAAGCTGATCCGACTTTATAATGGTCTTGTTTTGTGAAATAGTGATGAAATCCTGCAGCTAACCCTTCAAACGTTTGTGTCTGTGTAGCATCCTCAGATAATACACTGAAATAAAATAATAATAAAAATTACCAAAAGATCAAAACGTGTATTTTCAAATATTTTTCAAGATGCATATGAAGCATCGTAAATCATGAATATGATGGTGGGCTGTCCTTTATATTTCTTTTCTGGTTTTATGTACATTGTATCATGTATGTTTTAATTGGTTGTGGCATCTTGTACATATTGTACAAAAATACATAGTTTGCAATACATCATTTACATGTAGCAGTAAAAATTTAAAGAAAAAAAATCATTATTTTTCGGCTTAGAAAAGAGCATTTTTATTTTCTGGGAAAACTGCTCTGGAAGTACTGTGCTTTAAAACAGTAGAATAAATATCATTTTTGAAAAAAAAATACACTTAAATTACCATTACCAGTACAGTACAGCACTAGTGATCTTAATTGCTTATATCCATATAAAAATAAAGGAGATGAGGTATGCATGGTATGATTGCCAATGAGACAACTATCCACCAAAGTTCAAATAAAGTGGATGTAAGCAATTAAAGGCAACCGTACGGCCTACAACAATGAGAAAAACCCATACCATATAGTCGGACATGTCATTTGAACTCTAGTGTAAAGTTGTCTCATTGGCAATCATACATCATGTACATCTTATTTTTATATGGCAAATGATTGACTTGGTGACATGTAAGGAGTTACCCAGATGGTTTTACCAGAGGGACAAAATCGTGTCCAGTAGTGTTAGTCACCTAATGACCCACTAACTAAGGTTCCCAGATTGATAGTAACCAGCATGACCAGTGCAAAAAAGTAAGCGGAAGATTGTTTAAAATTAGAGGTATAAAGGCCTAGGGAACCTTTGTTAGTATGAGTCTTGCCTTTTAAATCTAGAGGTTTTTGGTTCATATCTTTTTATAGTCTAATGTAGCGGTGCTTCCCCTTACCAAGTAGACTTATAACCGCCCTCTGTTAGCTGTGCTAATGGAGTACACCTTTAGCTCAGTTGGTATAGCGATAGCAGGGGTCCCTGGTTCGAATCCCTACTGGTAGGTAATGAATTTTAAAAGGCAAATCATGCTCTCTGGATACAAAATTGGCACCCAACAAAGTAACCCATGGTTAGAAGACATACCTAGCCAGGGCAAGAGTTGAAGACATTGTCTTTAATCAGTCAGGGAAATTACTTACATCACTGATTTAAGTAACATTTTGTCCAGATATGTTGGAAGTAAGAGTTGTCTTTCTTTAATAATCATCCTATTTTAAATATAATGCTTCACTGAGCGCAGCCTGATACGACCGCAGTGGTCGAACCCTGAACAGTTGGGGCAAATTTGGACACAATATATATATTCAAGCTTGATACTATCTGAATTTGGATTGTGATCAAATTTTGACATAATATAGGTTTCTGACACAAAATAAATGTGGTCAAAGATCTTACAAATCTAATGTGCAATACTGTGCAATTGAAGATTTCTTCTTGAAACTTTTCAAAAATTTGAAATTTTGAAAATTTTAAAAAAAATATGAACCCTTTTAAAAAAAAATTGGAAACCCCTTCCCCCCCAGGGCTCACGCTACCAGGCGACTAGGGCGAAGAAGTCGCTTTCCTGTCCGTCACTTCGCTAAGCCCGACCCTCAAAAGCTAAAACAAGTCACCCTGTTGTTTACGATACTCGCTTTCAGTCGCTTTCGTCATCTGCAATATTCAATTTTTACCAAGTCGATGAAACAGCAATTTTTCATTTTAAAGTAAAAAAATTCAAGGCATAAATAATTTATTTTCTTCAGAAAAGAGGTTAAAGCATTGATTTTAAAGTTGGTGGCATGTTATTTCATAAAAACAATTGTTTATCACTTCCGGTACTTGTTACTCGGAGAGCGTACACCAAATCATTCTAACTTTCAGCAAAATAAGTTGTTACTTCATTAGAACTTGATGAAATTTGCCTAAAGTAAATTTGTTATCCATGTATTGCATTAAAAACGTCATATTCCTTTCCAAATAGCATGTCAAACATCGTTTATTTTTGTAAATTTTTCTTCGTCCTCCATTTAAATTATTGGGCATTTCATTGTACAACTACAGATCTGAGTCGGGATTTCATCGGAAACGGACAGGCTATGACCGAAATCCGGATTCTTAGGATTATGACTACGGACGCATGAATGGCACTGCTGACAGACAAAAATTGATCCCAAAAAGAATAAAATGCTCCGCTGGGGCGCAGCTTGATACGACCTCAGAGGTCGAACCCTGAACAGTTGGGGCAAGTATGGACACAACATTCAAGCTTGATACAGCACTGAATTTGGATTGTAATAAAATATTTGACACAGCATAGGTTTCTGACACAGAATGAAAGTGGTCTAAGAACTTAAAAAAATTCAATTTACCTATTCAAACCATATCATTATTATTTGCTTTTATATATAAATCAGAAATAACCAATTTAAAATTGAAAATTTTAAAGAAAAAAAAGGAAAAAAAAATCCCCCCCCCCCAAATTTTTTGAACCCCCTTATGATTCATCACCCCCAAACTCAATCCATGCCTTCCCTTTGTGGTATGGTACCTTGCAGTACAATTTCAGAGAGATCCATACACTTGAACACAAGTTATTGTCTGGAAACTAGAAAAGTGCTTGTTTTTTGGCCCCAAATTCCTAAACATTTAGGGCAATTACCCCCAAACTCAAACCCAGCTTTCCCTTTGTGATATGGAACCTTGCAGTACAATTTCATAAAGATCCATACACATACATGTGATGGACTGTGAAACTAAGATCAGGAGTTTGGGAAATTTTGGTCAGGAGATTATTAGGACTCAGATCAGGAGGTTTTTAATCGACATAAATTCTGTTGTAAATGTAACCGTGTGCTGTAGAAATTGTCTGTTAAAGTGTGTTTTCTTCAACTTTCCATCGGAATGTATTATGTTTATAGTACCCTTGTACTTATAAATTTTCTCTATCTTTTTAAACTTTCAACTTGTTCAATCTAACATTCTTCTTATTTAGTATGTTCTTTAAATTTGTTAGGTCATATTTTTTTACCATTATATATTCATTGCAATCAGAACATTTGCTTATCTATCTGCAAGTAGATCTATTATTTTTATCTTTATGCAAGTAGATTTTTAATGCATGATAAGTAACACATTCAAACTGTAATCATGGGTCATAGTTATTATATAAATTTCAATTTAAGCCTTGAAAGGAAGTATAGAACCCTCAAATAATTTTCAAATTATTATTTTTTTATTTGTCCTAAAACAATGTAAGACATTTAAAATCATTTAATTACCATCCTTTTATGATTATTTGTTCAATTTATATTTTATTTATATTCTTTTAAAAATTTACATTATTTAAAGGAAAGTAACTTAAAACAGGATAAATCAAGGGAAGTAACCCAACATTCATTTTAAATTCACAAAGTTTTATTACACAACGGCAGTTAGCCTGAGGTAAAAATCATTGATTACCAGTATGTTTGACACCCAAGGTGACAAGTGAAGCCATATAATTATGCATGTTAATTGATTTACAGGTAAAATATAACTTCAGGTAATGTCAGTTACACCAGATATGTTGGGCTGAAATTTTTCATTCATGAAATATTTCATACACAGGATTTTTTTGTCTTCAACGGGAGGTCGGGAGGAGACCCCTGAAAACGAGATTATTGAACTCCCTTCGGAGGTTCACATGTATGCATACACTTACACACAAGTTATTGTCCTGAAACTAGAAAAATGCTTGTTTTTTTGCCCTTTTATGGCCCCTAATTACTAAAATTTTGAGGGAATTACCCCCAAAATCAATCCCAGCCTTCCCTTTGTGGTATAGTACCTTTCAGTACAATTTCAGAGAGATCCATACACTTGAACACAAGTTATTGTCTGGAAACTAGAAAAATGCTTATTTTTGGCCCCTTATTCCTAAAATTTTTGGGCAATTACCTTCAAACTCAATTCCAGCTTTCCCTTTGTGATATGGAACCTTGTAGTACAATTTCATAAAGATCCATACACTTACACACAAGTTATTGTCATGAAACTAGAAAAATGCTTGTTTTTTTGCCCCTTTTTTGCCCCTAATTCCTAAAATTTGGAGGCAATTACCCCCAAAATCAATCCCAGCATTCCCTTTGTGATATGGAACTTTGTGATACAATGTCAGAGAGATCCATACACTTACACACAAGTTATTGTCATGAAACTAGAAAAGTGCTTGTTTTTTGCCCCTTTTTGGCCCCTTATTCCTAAAATTTGGAGGCAATTACCCCCAAAATCAATCCCAGCATTCCCTTTGTGATATGGAACCTTGTGGTATAATGTCAGAGAGATCCATACACTTACACACAAGTTATGTCTGGAAGTTACAAAAATGCTTATTTTTGACCCCTTTTTGGCCCCTAATTCCTTAACTGTTGGTACCATAACCCCCAAAATCAATCCCCACCTTCCTTTTGTGGTATTGAACCTTATGGTAAAATTTCATTGAGATTCGTTCACTTAAATTAAAGTTAGAGTGCGAAAACTAATGTGTCTTCGGACGACGACGCCAGACGACGACGTCATACCAATATACGACCACAAAATTTTGTTTGCGGTCGTATAAAAATTAGGCATTCCACATGCATTAACATACTTTTGGTTAGATCTTCTTGATTAATGTTTATATTTCCATGTATATGCATTGTTTCAATTTATAAGTTAAAGTTGCTAAACTCTGGGACTATTACACTAATATAATTATATCATGTCCAAGCTTAACTGTTAAATTTATATACTTTTTAATGAGAAATACTTAGTTTCATGAACATGATAACAGAGTAGGTTTTTAATTGAATTTTAATTGATATAACAACTTTCTTTTCCTTTTTGATATAAAAAAAAATCTTTTTTATTATTGCTAGATATTTAATTGTTTTTTCTGACAAGAGGACTCATATGATTGTGCAACTAGATATGATAAAATTAAACAACTTTAAATTTGAACAGTTACTTTATTTGTATACCCAGGTACAAATTGAACAATATAAAAAAAATAAGAAACATATGACCCTTAATGTCTTATAGTAAAAACCAAACATTGTAGCGCCGCGAGCGAACAAGCACTTCTCTCTCAAATCTCACCACTTCTCCCTCTCAATTTCAAAAAGAGAAGTCACTTCTCCCTATGATTCTGAAGTAGTGTGAGCCCTGCACCCCCAAACTTTTTGAATGCCCCTTTTAGCATTAACCATCAAACTCAATTGCAGTCTTTCCTTTGTAGTATGGAACCTTGTAGTACAATTTTAGAGAGATCCATACACTTTATCACAAGTTACTGTCTGGAAACTAGAAAAATGCTTTTTTTTAACCATAAAAGCCCATTTTAATAAATCATAAAAGTATTAAAATAGAAAATGACAGCATAGTCATGGCTAAAATTAAAAAAACCTTCATCAGCAACTTTTAATAGTAATATCTAAAAATAAAATTCCTTCATCAGCAGTTAAAAGTAACTTCTTAAAATAAATTGACAGCTAGGACTTTGCAACCATAAAAACCTATTTAAATACATCATAAAAGTATTAAAATAGAAAATGACATCATAATCATGCCTAAAATTAAAACACTTTCATCAGCAACATTAAATAGTAATATCTAAAAATAAAATTCCTTCACATACATAATCATGGCTATAATTAAATAACCTTTATTAAACATTTTTAAAATAGTAACTTCTAAAAATAAATTGACAGCTAATCACCGAAAGACAATACATTTTTTTATAAATAATTTACAAGCAGTGTAAGGGAGGTAATTTGACAATATGTGTTTGAATTACCTCCCTTCAGTCAGGGGTACTACTTGTACAAGTAATCTTTATTAAGGCCAAAATAAATTAATAGTATGTTTCCTATTTCCCCTCCCAAAAAATTAGGTAGGGTAGGTAGGTAAAACATTTTATTTTATGAAAACATTTTATTTTTTTTTATTGATTGGTCGACAGCCGAAAAAAAGTTCCAAATCAAATAGTTTGATGTGCGGGCTTCTCTGATATTTATAATAGTAATTAAATCTACAGCTTTTTTAATTTTCTGTTTTATATATATAGTTCTGCATCAGAAATATGAAAATAAACCTTAATGAAAATTTTATGCATTTCATTGGTCGTAAAAAGAAAAAGTGTATGTTCTTCATGATTAATTATCTTAAACCAAAAATGGCAGTGAAAAATCTGGCATGGTATGTTATTATGTTGGGCCTCGTTGAACCTAAAAATGTAAATGTCACACAGGGTATACATGTGGAAGCAGATTAGTACCCCTTGAAAACACTGTGAACCGATGCTAAGCAGCAGATAATTATGATTTTTTGAGGGTTAATACTCTGCCTTTGCACCCTCTTTATTTAATATACAGATGTGTTTTGATGTTTGACAGAATATGATGTTGATTGAAGATTGGGTGTTTCTGACAATATTAAAATTCCAGGTTCTGAGAAGAGTGAGAATGTGAAATCTTTGTCTTATTAATGAGGGTAGTAATGCCATTTACCGTCAGGCGTCAAACGGTCATTCTCGGCTACCGTTAGCATCAAATTGGTTAAAATTTTACCTTAATTCATCAAAATATCCATATCGTGATTCTTCAGAGCAAGGATTTGTATATTATACAAATCCTTGGTCAGAGGTCTCAAATAATTATCGTTACCGTTATTTTTGGAAAATTTTTTACGTGATTCGTCAAAATCAGTCGATTTTTTGTATCGTCTAAAACAAGGTGTACATTTTATGTCATGCACCAAAAATTACCGTTAACGTCGTTTGGCAAGATTTTTTAGCGTTATTCTGTCTACATATAATTGTTCTGCCTAACAGAAGTTCCACTGGAAACTTTGTTATAACCAATGTCATAATATCTGTTCCTGTTGGAACAAATATTCTATACCATTCATTCCGTTAGGAACATATACTGTAATATTTATTCCAGAACACTTTTTCCATTTGGAACTTTTATTATGAAGGAACTTCTATTTCGTGACAATTCGTCATGAAGGTACCTCATTAATCTACTGGTCAAATAAATTGCAGATGTAAATATGACAGGATTTTTTCCCTTTTCTTGTATAAATTGTTATGGGACCAGCCAGAGAAATAAAAAAGAATAAAAGTAGACATGGTGCTGGGGCAGATTCATTTATAAATGAATATGAATCATACACCATGTCTGCCTAAAAAAAAAAGCTTTCATCTTTCTCGTTCCACATTGTCTGTCCCCTTGCCATCATAAACTAAAAAGCATAAACAGCCGTTTATGTTGCGTCCTGGGCACAATTCTGTACAACATTCGTAAGAGCATGTTTTTACTACAATAGCTGTATTGATTTTAGCAGTAAATTTGAACTCATTTTACTATAAAATTGTTAGTCAATTTACCGACAGATACAGTCTGTCCAACCTGGAACGATTCTGACTTTTGGTCCAAAGAAGCACAGGTACAAGACGAGATTTAGTTAATATATGTATATATACTGAATACACTTCATTATATATATACAAATATTTAAAAAATTCTCGCTTGTACCTGTTCAAAGAAGTTGAGCAAAATGCGTCAACTTCGTATTTTTTTCGTCTATAGGTCCGCTTGATGTTCTTCAAAAAGATTCATCATATCGTAATAATCCGGAATCGATGTCATTATATTTTGCGTCCATGTGTTCACATTTCGCATATTTGACAGCTAATACGGATCAATACGCAACACGGTTGCCGAAAAGCCATGCTTGTTTACATAAAATCTTGGTCCTTGAAACGCTTTACTTATCAATAATAGGTCGTTTTTATCAAACGCTTTGAAGATCTATACTATTCTAAACGAATAATCGGAACCGGACAGACTGAAAAATCCGGATTTTGAATTTTTGTTTTCATTTTTGTCAATAAAATGTTTAGGGTCGGCGTCGGAAACGGAGGTAGGGTCGGGAAACCGGAAACACACCATTTATTTATTTTGGCCTAACTTGAAGAAGTAAATAAAATATACTTATATAAGTTAATTATAATGTTTGAATAATCTCCCCTTAATTTTCTAAAAAAATTTACTTGTATAAGTAATTTTTTTTTACAATCCCACAAAAATTCTCAAGTTTTGAGATGTAAAAACATGCCTTTAACAATTTGTCTCAGGTTAGCTCATAATTTTTTATTAGAGTTCAATGTTTCATCTCATTAATTCAACAAAGAAACTGATTGTGCAAAGATCTCAAGTATTTGCGCAAGGCCTTCAAAAATTGCCCCTTGGGGGCTTGTAAATGAGCAGTGTTCTGAAGATAACAGACAAATGAGATTTTCATTGTCCATGAAATTACACTTAAATGATTAGTAAAGACATCTGCAAAGGACAGACAATTAAAAATTCTACTAGAGCAAAGAAGTCCTAAGAATGCAAGAAAAGAAGATAGGATGACTTTTTTACTTGTATAAGTAAAAAAATCTGAATGTCTAAGGGACATAACTAAGCCCAATTTTTGTTTACCTTTATACAAGTAAATAAAATACACTTGTATAAGTATCCTACAAATTTACTTATATAAGTATATTAATATTTACTTCTTCAAGTAAATAAAAATTACTTGTACAAGTAGTACCCCTGACTGCCCTTACACTGCTTTAAATTTATGTTTTGTACTTAAGTAATTGTCCATTAACCTGGAAACCCTTGTTTTTCCCCCTTTTTTGCCCCTAATTCCTTAACAGTTTAAGCCATAACCCCCAAAGCAAATTCTTACCATCCCTTTGTGATATGGTAAATTGTCGTATAATTTCAGAGAGATCAATACACCATTTCACAAGTTATTGTCTGGAAACTAGAAAAATGCTTATTTGGGCCCCATTTTGGCCCCTTATTCCTGAACTGTTAGGACCATAACCCCCAAAATCAATCCCAACCTTCCGTTTGTGGTCATAAACCTTGTGGTAAAATTTCATAGAAATCCATACACTTAAACAAAAGTTATTGTCCTGAAACCAATGTGTCTTCAGACGACGACGACGATGTGATACCAATATACGACCGCAAATTTTTTGCTGTCGTATAAAAATAAGTAGTACAAATAATTCACTAGATTAAGTGATTTAATTTAATTTTATTGTAGCTTTGAATATATAATACTAATGATACAGGTACTAATTATGCTGCTAAAATGATCAGAACCAACATCTGTGTTAATAGGATGACCGGTCATGTCAGGTGATGACCTTGTACTGAATCTTGGATAATGACATGAAAATCACTTCTTTGTCATACCTCTTTTTTCTTCCAAAAAAATAACTTCTTTTAAGTATTATTATTTTAAGAACCCAATGTACCCCCACTAGCTTCAACACCCCCGAACAGTGAAATTTTGATCGTGAACAGTAAAATTTTATGACATAATCTGTAAGATGAAACAATTTTACAGGAAAAATACTCCCAATGCTGGGAAAAATTAATTTTTTGCTGTGACACCTTCCTGGATGCGAAGGCATCAAAGCAAAAAATCAAAATAGCCTTTCAAGTTGTCATAATTATTTTGACTAAGTAAGGGAAATCATGTTCTTTGGTTACACCAGATCATAGTGACGTCTGTTGAAAGCAGACTTATCAAATTTCGACTTTATTTTTGATAGATCCTTAAATAGCATTACAAGATGTCATCATTATTTGGACAAATACTATTCATGGAATTTTCTAAAATGAATTATCTCCCTTTGCAATTTTTAGACAAAAATTGTACAATTTCTTATCTGTAAGTTTTCAATGGAACGTCACATGTATCGTAAAGTAGTTGTATCGATAGTGTTTGTAGTTTTCAATTAGTTCTTTTTATATCTTATGCTTCTTGTATTAGATTAAGTAACTTAGTACCTGAGCAAAGATGCAAGTTCTTTCAAGGAGAGCGCCATTTTGTTTTATAACGTGATCTCGTTATTTCAAGTAGACAACAATAATTCTTAGTCATTTTAATGTGGTGATTTTAAACATCATTGTTAAAATCCTCCAAATAAATGATATTTGGTTGTTTCCACTACGCAAAACACACAGGTGCAAGCGTTAAATTAGCTAAATATTGATCGATCACGTGATCTTAAAACGAGAGTTCGATTTGTTTACTTTTCACGTTGCCTTTCTACTGTCAGAAATGGAAAAGGTTGCAAGCTCAAAAGTTGGGCATACACATCAGTCTGCTACAGGATTGTCTTCTGTTAGACTTGTTGTCACTGTTGTCGTCATTGTGGCATGTTTCACGGCACTGTATCCTAAGTTTTTCCATCCAATTGTAATGAGAATGTTAGGAGTGCCTCTACAAAAACAAAAGACTGAGCCAAGTGAGTCTGGAATGATGTTAAAAAAAGATAATAGAGTTCTTTACAAATATATATCATACATCCTACCCTTTCCAACTTTCAATTAATACATCAGGATTTTTAGATATATATCATCATATATGAGGGTAGGAATGCCCTTTATCTTCAAATGTCCAATTTTCGCTACCTTAGCGTCAAATGAGCCTTAATTTTTTATCGTCATTCGTCAAATCTCATTTTGTAGCTACTGTTAGCTTCAAATGAAGTAAAATGTTTATCGTTATTTTTACAAATATTTTACCGTCATTTGTCATGTGGGGTACCCCATTCCTACCCTCATATATTGGGTACGTTATGGGCCTCGGTTGGTCAAAGAGGCCACCATATTTGATCTGGAGATCATGTGTAGATATATCTTTGGTTTGTCTGTTTTTGCCGAGGAGCACTGTGGTGCTCTCCGAGTACTTCCCCTTCCTTCACCATAATAACAGTCTTTCCCATGTCCTAACACTCCCTTGGTTTGGGTTGGGGATTATCGGTGGTGATGGGTTGTATATAGATTAATGACACATCTTCATTAATCCTTAAGGGGAGTGTATACCGATTCCACAGACCACAGTACACTCTCAGCTCTTGAGGGGTGCTTCAAATAATGAAGGAATTAACATGATTAACATACATACATACAGTTTTAGATTGTAGTTTACATTACATAGAACATGTAGAAATGAAGAAGATGTGGTATGAGTGCCAATGAGACAACTCTCCATCCAAGTCATAATGTGTAAAAAGTAAACAGTTAATTTATAGGTCAAAGTACGGCCTTCAACAAGGAGCCTTGGCTCACACTGAACAGCAAGCTAAATGTATAAAGGGACCCAAAATGACTATAGCTAGTGTAAAACAATTCAAAAAGGAAAATGTATATTATAGTTTAGCCTGGGGCTGCAAAAGATAAGACACATGTCTGCCCCCTGTTCAAATGACAATTCTGCACCATTGTGGTCATTTCCATAATTGGACATGTTGGGTAAGTAATTTCACCAGCTCTGGTCATTTTCAAGAATAGCTTAGTCACTAAAATTTGAAAAAGTAAAAAAAAATTATTGTCATTGTCCATGTTGTCACTTACATGTAATGATGTATCATACTTATACATGTACATGTAAAATATGCTACTCAGTAAAAGGAAAAGAATCAGTTTGGTTCCAAAAGAAATGCCTCCTGGTCGTTGTTTTAAAACCTAGAACAAATCCATAACTTAATGCATAGGACTATTATCTTATCATGCCTATTGATCTTGTTCATAGTGTTAACTGTTAACAAACCTGGTATTTCTGAAGATTTCAAAGCTCACATCCAGAATATTTGAAAACTTCACACCCGTAGCAAAATCACAAAAAATCTTACACTGAAAATTTTTACTGCAAGTCTTTATTTACCAACTCTGGTTCTGTATGAATGGTACACATATGTATTTGACTAAACCATGTAAGGTACAAATGATTTGTGTCAAGTAAATAAAATATATAAACATTTAAAAAAAACAGGTTCATTAAAAAAAAGTAATAATGGAATAGGCCAAAAACATCTACTGACAATATTTTCTACAGGTGCAACACACTGACACATTTACACTTTAATTTATAATCAATTTATCATGTTAACGGTGTCCCAAAACACATAACCATACATGTTCCTTATGTGGATTTTGTAAAAAAAAGAAAAGGACATTTATAACTCATTCACTGTCATAAATGTTTCTTTTTTGTATTTATCATGTTTATTTTCAGATCATCCCCCTAATAGACCCTCTCCTCATGGCCATGGAAACATGCATGGAGCACCAGACCCACACCATGATGATATCAAAAGACACATGCGTGTAAGTGTTTTAAATTGTTTTGACATAAATATTATTTCCAATATTCACAACTGTCAAGACTATATTTCATCCTGAACATGCATGAAATATTTGCCATCGGACGTTAAACAACCAACAATCAATCACAATGGAATAAAACACCGAGTTAAATGACTCGGATTAGCTCATCTTATAAGGGATGGCTTGGTGACATATTTGAACACTAGTCACTACAAGATATTATAGGTTTAGGGCTATTCCGTTAAAATGTATGTGGGAGGGTAGGAAGGGAAGTTTAATTATTGAATGTGGGTCATGGGATTTTTTTAGCTCACCTGGCCCGAAGGGCCAAGTGAGCTTTTCTCATCACTTGGCGTCCATCGTCAAGTCGTCGTAAGTTTTTACAAAAATCTTCTCCTCTGAAACCACTCGGCCAAATTTAACCAAACTTGGCCACAATCATCATTAGGGTATATAGTTTTAAAAATGTGTCCGATGACCCTGCCAACCAACCAAGATGGCCGCCATGGCTAAAAGTAGAACATAGGGGTAAAATGTATATTTTGGCTTATATCTCTGAAACCAAAGTATTTAGAGTAAATCTGACATGGGTAAAACTGATTATCAGGTCAAGATCTATCTGCCCTGAAATTTTCAGACAAATTTGACAACCCGTTGTTGGGTTGCTGCCCCTGAATTGGTAATTTTAAGGAAATTTTGCAGTTTTTGGTTATTATCTTGAATATTATTATAGATAGAGATAAACTGTAAACAGCAATAATGTTCAGCAAAGTAAGATATACAAATAAGTCCATGACCAAAATTGTCAGTCGGCCCCTTTAGGAGTTATTGCCTTTTATAGTCAATTTTTAACAATTTTTCGTAAATTTTTGTAATCTTTTACAAAAATCTTCTTCTTTGAAACTGCTGAGACAAATTTAACCATACTTGGACATAATTATTATTAGGGTATCTAGTTTAAAAAATTTGTCCGATGACCCCGCCTTCCAACCATCATGGCAGACATGGTTAAAAATAGAACAAAGGGGTAAAATGAAGTTTTTGGTTTATATCTCTGAAACTAAAGCATTTAGAGCAAATCTGACAGGTGGCAAAAATGTTCATCAGATTTAGATTTATCTGCCCTGAAATTTTCAGACGAATCCGACAACCCGTTGTTATGTTGCTGCCCCTGAGTTAGTAATTTTACAGAAATTTTGCAGTTTTTTGTTATTATCTTAGATATCATCACATGATCATTATAATATCTAATATCTAATACTATTAATTATGATTTTAACCTTATTTTTCATGATTTCCAAAGCATCAGTAAATACAGGTGAGCGACACAGGCTCTTGAGAGCCTCTAGTTTCAGTATGCGTCCATTACCATTATGCAAAATTATCCAGAAAATGGTTCTTGGTTGTAGGGATATTTTGAAAGTCCTTTCCTACCCTCCCACATACATTTTAATGGAATAGCCCTTATTTAATAAGGCATTATAAAGAACTAAGATAAATATTTTATGTATTTTCGGGCTTAATGACCATCTTCATATGTCTTAACAATATTAAATTACAATAACAATAGATTTACAACAGGAGTCACTGCCCAAACCTTGATTTAATAAAACTTTTGCAAACTTTCTTTTATACTGACAGCTAAAATTGGTTTACTACTATTGTGAAAAACACAAAAGGCTTAACTCTTATCACAAATCATCATGCAAACTCCACATAGTTTATATATGTTACTCTTCCTTCAAAAATTATTTATGACCCTTTTTTAAGGGCAAGCTGAGGAAAATCATATCACACTGTATACAGTGGTAGAATCTGTTTTAAAAAATAATTAACAAAAAAGGGGCAGAAGATACCATACATGCCATATAGGGTGAATCAGAACTCATATGTAAAACAAAAGTGGAAAAAAATCATGACACAAAAAAGAAAAAGAATGAATAAAGAAACAACAGTCTACATCTGCATAAAAAACTTTAGTCTGAGTGATGGGAGTCCCACCAAAAGCCAGCAGTGAAGTCAGGTGCTCCAAGAGGGTAGTTTGATAATAGAGTTTGGTATTTTTGTTAATAAATTTTTTATAATATTTGTTGATAGCAAGATGAGGTTAACATAAACATTAGTATAACAACATTTTGTTTTGTTGTAAAATTACAGCCAGGACCACATCCAGGAATGAGGGCAGCAGCTGAAATGAACAAACAGAATAAACAAGGCTCCTCCGGTAGAGGAGGTATGATGGGAATGCTACTTCCTGTTTACGCCTTTGGTATAATTGGATATCTTATCTATACTCTTGTGAAGGTATGTCCAAAAAAATGCATGTGTGTTTACTGTACCCAGACTGACCCTTATTTTTGAGAGTCAACCCTAACTTTTTTTTCATTGAAAATTGGGCAAATTATATTTGCACTGGTATTTTTTTTACGGAGATATTGATTGTCTTTTTGTTTTAGGGCTAGCTTAATGTTGAAAATAGTCAGCAAGTATCTTGAAAAAACAAAGGACTGACAAAAACAACTTCACCCCTAATGCGGCGTTCACACAGTGCCGATTATGGCTTCCGTTTGAGATCAGACAGCGCTAAGACACGAAAAGTTAAAAGTCGGATTACTATCCTCATTGATCTGGAATGTCCTAACATTGTCTTAACGAAGTCGTATATGTTCGTAACAGATTCCTACGGCATGAGAGGCTGCCATGTTGTTAAGAATAAGATTTTCCTCAAAATTCAAATGAAAAATATAGTGTCATCTATTTCCAGCCAAAAATTGGGAGTATTAATTGCTTTAATGATGTTTATCATTTAATAAAAAACATGCTTCAAATTTTAAAAATTTTCCAATAATTTCTATGTATTTTTCTATAAAAAGGATATGACATTTATGAACATTTTTCTTTTTTGAATATTAACAGCAACTATCCTCAAGTTTGGTAAATTTTTCCAGGTGTTTGGCAAAAAAGATAAAGGAGAAAATAGTATGGGATATGGTAAACGGGGTATGTCCTATGGCCAACAACAGAGTAGTGACAACAGACCTGTAGAACCTCAGCGAGAAGAGGTGGAAGAGCAAGAAAATAAACTAAAAGGATTGGAAGATTTATTGGACAGAGCTTCAAATGTTGATAATAATATATGTTAGTTTTTATAGAATATATGCCTTGGGTAAAAAAAGTGTGTATAATACACAACCAAATAAAGTATGACTTTTATGTGTGGACTTTAGAGTTGGCGTTGTGGTATACACATCCTGGACACAAAACTATCTAATTGGATGCACTATTTCATGAGACTATGCATCTGAGAGATGCATCATGATTACAGTAGGTGTGTCCTATCATTAAATTTGGATTATCCTCGAGCTGTTATAAAGTATCACAAAAACCTCAATATTTTATTGCAAATTTCCTTCTGCAATTATCAATAGCTTTGCTTAATGTAAAGGCAACATGTGAGATTTCATTATTTGTTTCTCTCAGTAAATGCATGTATGCAAATATTAGAAATTAAATAGTATCAAACTTTGAAAAATATGCCTCTGAACTATTTGAGTTTCTCTTTCGATGCATAAAAGGTTAGTTTGCTTCTTTGCTAGTGAGGGTCACCTTCTTCTCTTTATTAGCTATTGATGATATAAAATAATAAATTTGTCAGACTTGTTTTTGAGTCTCATTTTATTACGTGTCGCTTGATTTGGTTGTCCTGTAATAAAAGAGAGTTGAAAAAAGTAAAATAAAAAAAAAAACAAACTCCAAGGTAAATTCAAAACGGAAAGTCCTTTATCATATGGCAAAATCAAGGGCTCAAACACATCAAACAAATGGAAAACAGTGGTAATATTCCTGACCTGGTACAGGCATTTCCTTATGTAGAAAATGATGGAATGGTGAAAGATACCAAAGGGACATTCGAACTCATAAGTTGAAAAATAAACTGACAGCGCCATGGCAAAAAACTAAAGACTGATCAACACAAACCCCACCAAAAACTCGGGGTGATCATGTTTACTTAATAACTATTGTTACACCTTGAATAGGTATTATACAAAGATACTAGTGATTTCATGGTCCATCTAACAACAAGCAAGCTTAAATTCATATATGTATTTCTTTGTACACACACAAGTATATACTGTGGATTCATTTATTTTTGTGGATACCATTTTCGTGGATTGGGAAAATCTTGAATTTTTTTGTAGATGTTTGATTTCATGTATTTGCCAAAGTCTGTATACAATCCCTTAGAAAATGGGTTTTAAATTTGTGGTTTACCTTACTTAATCCACGAAAATTGTTATCTAACAAATTATGAATCCACTGTATTTACTGTAAACCCAAAATTAATATATCACAATGCGACACTGTATACATGTAATCGATAGTTTCACCAATCAATAGTAATTTTGGATATTATTTTTCCATTTTTTTAAATATCTTTTTAATGTTTAGCAACTGAAGAAATGAGAGAATTACAAAAGAGACTTGAAGAAACAGAAAAACAGATGTCCAAGATTCTGAGCGCCATGCAGCATGTATCCACTAAAGTTGAGACTGTTGCTACTGATGATGTTAAATCTCAAGAACAGGTATTTTGACCAGTCATCTTTGAGCTTTTTAAGTGAAGGGAGACAACTCTTTAAACTAATAAATTGTCATTTTTGTCGAGCCTGCGACTTTTGTCGCAGAAAGTTCGACATAGGGATAGTGATCCGGCGGCGGCGTTAGCTAACTTCTTAAAAGCTTTATATTTTAGAAGCTAGAAGACCTGGATGCTTCATACTTTATATATAGATGCCTTATGTTACGAAGTTTCCGTCTGTCATATGTCCAATGTCCTTGACCTCATTTTCATGGTTCAGTGACTACTTGAAAAAAAAGTCAACATTTTTTGTAATGTTAATTTCTTTCTTATTATGAGTAATAGGATAACTATATTTAGTATGTGCGTACCTTGCAAGGTCCTCGTGTCTGTCAGACAATTTTCATTTGACCTCGACCTCATTTCATGGATCAGTGAACGAGGTTAAGTTTTCGTGGTCAAGTCCATATATCAGATACTATAAGCAGTAGGTCTACTATATTTGGTATATGGAATGATTGTAAGGTGTACATGTCCAACTGGTAGGTGTCATCTGACCTTGACCTCATTTTCATGGTTCAGTGGTCAAAGTTAAGTTTTTGAGTTTTGGTCTTTTTTTTCTAATACTATATGCAATAGGTCAACTATAAATGGTGTATGGAATGATTGTAAGGTGTACATGTCTAGTTGGCAGGCGTCATCTGACCTTGACCTCATTTTCATGGTTCAGTGGTCAAAGTTAAGTTTTTGAGTTTTGGTCTTTTTTTCTAATACTATATGCAATAGTTCAACTATATTTGGTGTATGGAAATATTTTATGATCTATATGTCAGTCACGCAGGTTTTATTTGACCATGACCTCATTTTCAAGGTTCATTGCTCAGTGTTAAGTTTTTGTGTTTTGGTCTGTTTTTCTTCAACTATAAACAATAGGTCAACTATATTTGTTGTATGGAAGAATTGTTAGCTGTACATGCCTGCCTAGCATGGTTCATCTGACCTTGACCTCATTTTCATGGTTCATTGGTCAATGTTTAGTTTACTTGGTTAATGTTAAGTTTATGTGACAGTTGTAATAAAGCTTTATATTTAGGACTATCAACATAATATAAATGATTAGTAAAGAAGGCGAGACATTTCAGCGTGTGCACTCTTGTTAATGATTGATTGATTGGTGTTTTATCGCCGCTTACACACTACTGTGGTATTTGTGGAAGTCAGTTTATATTGGTGGAGGAAGCTGGAGTGCCCGGAGAAAACCATGACCTTCGGAAGGAAGACTGACAATCCTAGTCGATTAAGATTAGAGTCAAGTGCACCTGCCAAGTGCGGGATTCGAACTCACAACCTCAGTGTTGACTGGCTAGTGATACACTGAGGTCCCTGTCATTTGTGAAAAAAAAGATGTAAATGGTAGATCTAATAGAAAGCAGCTGTTTATATTCATGGATGTTTGCTTAACAGCCCTGTGTGATGTTACTAGTTGATAATTTCTAATGTTCCTGACAGTAAATATTAACTTTATGCATTAAAATAAATTATTATCCTGGTTGCAGTGAAATAGCAGTGAAATTAAAACAGATGTATAACAAGTAATATATATTGTAATTTCACTCTGATGTCATACAAGAACACATGATCAATAAATGTTGTCAATTAGGTTACTTCTTAATGAAAATAGAATTTGTAGAAAAAGATGTAGTTCCTTGCATTATATTCTTTATTTACATAAGTTGTTAAAAAATCAATCTAAAAATAAAAGTATGGAAAAAGGTTTAACTAGGTAACAACTATAATGTGATAATAAATTTAAGCTTTCAAGAATTACAGTGTTCCAGCTAGGATTTCAAAAGGGCAGGGAGCCAATCATGAAAAGGGCACTTTTGAACGCTAATTGATGATTCAAAAAGGGCAATTCAAACATTGTCTTATGTAGACAGCAGGGGTTTCAGCTAGGAGTTTTGAGGGCTTTATTCACTTTACACGAGATGAAAATAAAACCTTATTTTGGGTAGCAGAAAGGGACCAAGGATGTATATTACTACTACTAGCTATACATATGCCCAAGTCCTTCATGGACCAGGATCTTTGAATGCCTTAAACATACTACAAATCATGAAATGTAGGCAGTCATGGCATGATTTGACTGGTGTGATGCTTAAATATGAAGATTAGCTCAAGGATCCGGAAATTTAGTGCACAATTTCAGTTATTTTTAGGGGACATCCTGATCAACAAAAGTTGGGTTCCTCTTTTTTAAAACCAGGAATCACAGCATAATTTCCATAAATGAAATTGTAAGGACTATTTCACTGGATAATCACTATCCCTGTAAAAATGTTTAAATCCGTATTTTGAATTCATTTTATAAACTTGGAACGATTAAAATGACTGTCTATTTTAAATTTATCAAGAGAAGATCACATTTACTTTCGATTTTAAACAAGTGAAAACAGGAAGTGACAAGGAGATGATAAATTTAGAATGAATCCGGATTCATCTACGGATTGGTTTTTGTTTAACAAAAAGGCAGGAATTTATTTTTTTTTAAATTAAGTTGCTCAGTAAGAAATATATTTGTCTCTCTCGTTCAATTTGATACTAAATGATTTTGTATTTGCGTGTCTATTAAATTTATAGAAATATGTTCACACATGCGCGGTACATGATAAAGAAAGCACATGTTTGACTCTTGAAAGTATTTTTGAACGTTCATGAATAAAGTTTTATCTTTATAATCGAAATTGTCGAAAGATTTTAATGAAAAGTTATGTAAAATGTGACGAAAATAGTTTAAATGACGAAACTACGTCAACCGAGCTGCAATTAAAATACTGTCCGGGGGAAAACAATATTTTGTTCGATTGACGAAACTACAAAAACATCTATGGATAAAGGAACTGTAAATTGTGGTCTTTTGAGAAATATTGAATTTGAAATGCTGACTGACTGATTTTACTGGGAAAATTAATTATAATGGTCAATTATGAGGTTTAATTAACAGATTAGTGACCCATTTGATGGCGATAAGCGGATTACCTGTAATCACAACTTAACACCTGCTGTAAATGTAGAAACATGAAGACAGGTAGATTTATAGTATGTTTATCAAAATATTACGTCAATAAAGGCATGGACTTGCGAAAAAGGGCAGGGCGTCTTAAAAAGGGCACAGGGCGTCAGAAAAAGGGCACAGGGTGGCAGTCGGGAAAGGGCGGGCGGACCGCCCTGTGAAAACAATCAAGCTGGAACACTGAATTATTGTGTTGTTTGTCACTCATTTAAATAGTTTTAGAAGACCCATTGTTGGCCTTTGGCTGTTTTCTGCTCTTTTGTCGGGTGTGTGTCTCTCCGACACATTCCTAATTTCCATTTTTAATTTTATTTAGAACTTCCAATACTTTCAATTCTTTGATTAGTTATTCTATAAATATCACTTTATTGTGTTCACAGGCAAAAACCAACGGCAACAGTTCAAGTGATTCCAGTCCTGATATCAGTAGTTATGAAGTGGTTGATAAGAATAAAGAAAAGAACTCTTCTAAAGTGGAGACAGTAAAAGCATCTGAAACCAATGAGGACACACAGACAGAAACAATGGAGGATAAGGACAAGAAAGAGGAAGTAATGTCTGCAGACAATGATGAAGTAAAGGATACTGAAGAAGTTATAAAAGATAAACATGAAGAAGAGGAGTCAGGTGTCCGTCAGAGGAAAGGTCAAACAGGGTCAACTGAATAATCATCTCTTCTTATGTAGGCTCATTAACTGTCTTCTTTTATATGATATTTTGGTTATGACATACATACTTTTAAGTGGGTATCATGATTGAAATTGAATGCAATATTGACCAGTCAATGCTTATTATGGGGATACCAAATTTTGGAGGTAATTTATCACTCAAAATTTTGTACTGAACTACATAAATTGAAAAATCAATAGTTTGGGATCCCTAATTTTGTTTGAAAGTCTTTTAAGACATTTAGTTCTTAAACATAAATTTGTATTCAGAACATGGGTGTTAATTGATGCAATAACCATTTATTTATTGTGTTAGATTTGCACTGAAACTCCTGATTGAAAATGAAAAAAAAGTACATTACGAACGAAAAGAAACAAAATCATTCCATATTTATTACATACATATTTTGTTACTCCAGACCAGACATGAATGTAATGAAGAAGTTTGGCAACCTTACTTTTTTTCCTGCGTCCCTTTCTTTTAAAAAAAAAGTTGTATGAAAAGCCTTGGCTTGCTCTTCAATCTGTAATTAAAAATGGCAAATTACATTACATGCCATATAATATGGCAGAATGTTTTCCTGAATATTGTTGTACCTTGATATTTGCTGTATTTATTAGTTTGATACTGCTGACCAAATTCAAAATTTTATTTTTTTTATTTCATGAGTTCATTGAGTTTTAACTTGTAAGTATGGATGTTATTATGGTAAACTAGTACCTTATATTTTTTGGTCATTTATATTGGGGTTCTATTGGCAAAAGAATGATAAATGTTTTCATATACATTAACTGAATATAATAAATATAATTTAAAATGATTATTCTGTATTTTGGACAAATCCTATATATTCTACATTTCCATAGTATGTTTTCCTTGCATACAAAAATGACTTTTTCTGCAGTTTTTAATAGAATTAGGTAACACAAATTTAATGTCATTTGGTAAAATATTTTATTAAGAATTTCCAACACTACAATTTTTATTCCCTGTAATTTTTCATCAAAAGTTATATGTACAATAGAATTAGGATACATTTATTTATTACTTTGGCATTTTGAGATAAATTGAGAGGTAAAAGAAACAGAGAATTGAGATTTTCAACACAAATATTAAATTTCCTTTTTTTTGGTAAACTCCTTTTTTATTCTTAATTAAGAGTGACAAATATTTAGAATTACCTGTGAAATTAGATTTAAATGTTCATAGAATTTGTATTCATTACGTCCTTTAGTTGACCTTGTTGACTATAGCTATAAACAAACTGTAATGATATTGTGATAATTGTGGTTTTTGATATAACTGATAGCTTTATTTATTGTTTTTTTTATACATTACAAAGTATATATATATCTGTTGGTGTTGTGATATTTATTTATTAAGAAATCCTGGAATCTCTGTTTATATTTACATATTTATATTTCATTATGTTTTTTTTTTCAATCCTATTTATTATATATAGGTACATGATTTATTATTTATTCGTGACAGCACAGTGCCTGGTGTGTAGTTGCATTTTCATGATTTATAAGATAAATGGCACTTTTCAAACAATTACACTTACTAGTGTTTATATTCCCTTGAAATAATATGACATTAGATGATTTATAAGGATTTCAGCATTCTGATTGGCAGACATCAATCATGCAATATAATAAAGAGATGTTTTATGTCCCAATACAAACCATGATCCATGACTGCACGTCTCCATAACAAAGTTACAACAATACATAGGGGTTCTAAAACAAAATAATGAAAATCTTGAATTAACTAGTCATTGAAATTAAATAAAAAAGAATTGAATGGCTCATTTTATTAAATTTTGTATATGCTTGTTACAGTATTGAATGCATTCCTTTTAGTATACAGTACTAACAGGCATGGGAATTAAGCTTTTTAAGGGGTAGTCCAGCCCAAAGTTATGTGATCAAGCAAAAATGTAGAAACAATTATTAGCCAGCCAAATTTTTACAGACCTGTCATGGATACTGAGCCTCTACTAATTTCCATCCCTGACCAAAGTGTTGATGAAATCATAAAAGGGGAAACTTTCCTTCTGATTAAATTAAGGATTATCTGTAGAACTTGGGATCAGGTGAATGACAGATTTTTCTTAATAATACTTTTTCTTTCTGTTTTTCTGATTTTAACATTTTTCTTTTATTTTCATTTTTTCTAAAAAATTTTGAGATGGTGGATATATATCTAAGCATTAAGATCTTCATAATTGCCCAGGAATTCTCAATATAAGACCAGTAAACTTTCATCTTTTGCACATTGCTATATTTTTTTTAATATTTTGCTGCCAGATCTGTTAGCATGGTAAATATATTTTTTACATTCTAAGTATGTGTTTTACATTATCATTTGTATGAACACAATAAAAGTCATTGTTTTATATTTTTGTCTCTTTTTACTTTGGTCATCATATCTGGTACTACTGATAAAAATGGAAATATATATGTTATTGTAAGTCCTTGTTTGAATGTTGTTTTAGAATAAATTGGGCAGAGGTATCTCTCTGATCAACAGAACAATTTCTTCAAGTTTCTTTAGTGTAGCGACACCTATGCAATTGTGTGGTTTTTATTTTACTTCCTTTATCGTAAATGTTTTATGTTTAATTTCTGACAATCATGACATACCCATTTCTATTTATAAATTGATAATTTTTTCTATAAATTTATCTATAGTTTACAAAATGTTCAGTTGTGGAATACAGTAATTTACAATTGTATACTGTCCTGTATGTGTTCAGTTTTGTATGTATGTAATTAATACTCTCATTTACATCAGCTTTAGAAATTAATGTGAATATTTGTCGATTGAAATTTTTCATTTTGATGAAAAGTGTGAAAACTGTTTTTGTTCATTTTATGATATTAAATATTTAAAACTTTGTTTATAATTAATCATTTCCTTCACCCAGATGCCTTTGATAAGCCTAAACATCTGTTAATGATAAGTTTATCCATGAATCTAAAAGATATTAAGCTGATACCTTTGAATTGTTGGATACCATTCAGTTTTGCTAATGATTTTTTCCTCCTCAGAAATTGCCTAGTGTTTTGTTCATGTCTTTATCAAAAATAGATGATATTAAATGTTTAAACTCTTCAATGTATTTTGTTTCAATGACAAAGTTTAGTATGTTATTGTGATATTAATGTGTTTAATAAAAATGAAAAAAATGCTTCTTGTTTTAACACTGCTAAAGTAAAGACAATTTTGTTTTTTTAGTTTATATTTATGTGTAATTTGCCTGCCATAACAATGAAAATAAAATTGAGAATGGAAATGGGAAATGTGTCAAATAGACAACAACCCGACCACAGAGAAAAAAACAGCCCAAGTCCATCAATGGGTCTCCAACATAGCGAGAAAATCTCGCACCCTGAGGCGGGCTTCAGCTGACCCCTAAACAAAAATGTGTACTAGTTAAGTGAAAATGTAAACTCCGAAACATATAAATGAACTAAGATTTAAAAAAAAACATATAATAGAAAAAAGAAGATGTGGTATGAGTGCCAATGAGACAACTCTCCATCTAAGTCACAATATCTTCATACTAAATACTTTTCAAAGGTGGTACATATTTAAAATAGTGAGACGAGATATAATAACACAAAGGCCAGAGGCTCCTGACTTGGGACAGGCACAAAAATGTGGCAGGTTTAAACTTGTTTTGTGAGATCTCAGCCATCCTCCTATACCTCTAGCCAATGTAGATTTAACAAACGCACAATGAAAAACATGTATTAAAATCTTTTGACCTTTTTTTTTTCTCATGTTTTACATTTGTCATTTCGGGGCCTGACATTATACCTGACATTCTTATATACATGATGTATATGTATATAAATGGTGATGAACTTTTTTTTCACATTATGCATGTTATGGTGGATGAAATATTTATATATACTTTAAGCGAGAAATCTCTGATCCTCTATGAATGAGGTGAAGAAAAGACGCAGATACAGATTGACAATCAAACCACATCTTATTATTTTTATATATAGGCCTTTTTTGGATCGAACTAAAATGTCATTACATATGCATTTTGATAGCAGGAATGTGAATGTCACCGTCTTGACAGATTATATTATATTTCGAGAAAGATATATGGATCTTGAAAGAGAGAAAGAGAGTCGTAAATGATGCCGAAAGCATCCTCTTGTCCTCAATACTACCCCATTGTCAACTTCTACTCTGAAACAACGTACATGTAGCAGCTTCAAATCATGCTAGGGTATTGTTTTTTTACCTTCGTTATAACATATTATTTTTATGTATCATCTAACTTGAATTAAAGAAGCAATAGTTTTTCAGAATGATCAAAGTAGGTGTGATAATTCTTTTGTTAAGCTTAAAGAAGATAATGCATACAGTTGATTTTCGTTCATGTACTTTCTCTGACATTTTTGTTAAACATAGGTCTTGCCTGTCATATAATAAGGTACTGTTACATTTTATAAACTAACATTCTGATGATACTGCGTTTGCTATAATGTATCAATGGAATTTTCATCTTATCATTTATGGGACCAGAATATTCATTTAAAGATGCGGACATTACTAACAACTGCTGACCTAACCCAATCCCTGATGTATCTGTTTTGAACTAAAAGCAATTTACTGTTACGAAAACTAAATTTGATATACTTTTTATCAGACCGGATCAATTGATTCAACAATCATAAAAAAGTAAACCAAAACATCAGTAAAAATCTTTCATCCAGAAGAAACTCAAAATTGATCTGTAACTTTTATGATATAACAGAGTATAAAAGTGTGGAAAACAAGATTTTCATCCAATTTTACATTTTCGAAGAAACACAACTTAATTCGGCAATAATGTATAGTGAGCACTTCTGTGTTGACATGAAATATCATTGATATGGTCATAATTATAAATTAACTGTTTACAAAACTTTGAATTTTTGAAATACTAAGGCTTTTCTACCTCAGGAATAGATTACCTTAGCTGTATTTGGCAAAACTTTTAGGAATTTTTGGTCCTCATTGCTCTTCAACTTCATACCTTTTTTGGCCTTTTTAACTCTTTTTATACGACCGCAAAAAATTTTTGCGGTCGTATATTGGTATGACGTTGGCGTCGTCGTCGTCGTTGTGTGTTAGTGTATGGATCTCTCTGACATTGTACCACAATGTTCCATATCACAAAGGGAATGCTGGGATTGATTTTGGGGGTAATTGTCTCAAAATTTTAGGAATTAGGGGCCAAAAAGGGGCAAAAAACAAGCATTTTTCTAGTTTCATGACAATAACTTGTGTGTAAGTGTATGGATCTTTCTAAAATTGTACTACAAGGTTCCATATTACAAAGGGAAAGCTGAAATTGAGTTTTGGGGTAATCGCCCAAAACATTGAGGAATAAGGGGCCAAAAAGGGGCCAAAAATAAGCATTTTTCTAGTTTCCAGACACTAACTTGTGTTTAGTGTATGGATCTCTCTGAAATTGTACTGCAAGGTACCATACCACAAAGGTAAGGCTGGGATGGATTTTGGGGGTAATTGCCTCAAAATTTTAGGAATTAGGGGCCAAAAAGTGGCAAAAAACAAGCATTTTTCTACTTTCAGGACAATAACTTGTGTGTTAGTGTATGGATCTTTATGAAATTGTACTACAAGATTCCATATCACAAAGGGAAAGCTGGGTTTGAGTTTGGGGGTAATTGCCCATATAGTTTAGGAATTTGGGGCCAAAAAGGGGCCAAAAAACAAGCATTTTTCTAGTTTCCAGACAATAACTTGTGTTCAAGTGTATGGATCTCTCTGAAATTGCACTGCAAGGTACCATACTAAAAAGGGAAGGCTGGGATTGAGTTTGGGGGAGATGAATCATAAGGGGGTTCAAAAAATTTGGGGGGGGATTTTTTTTTTCTATTTTAAAACTTTTATGATGTATTTAAATTGGTAATTATGGTTGCAAACTCCATTGGAAATTTGAATTGAGATTATGACCATATCTTGAGGGAAAGCATTTTTTTTTGGAAAAGGAGGGGGTAAAAAAGAAATTGTGGAGGCAATTTTTATTTCATTTCAGATTTCAGAAATTAAAAAGAAAAAAGGGGGGGGTTAAAAAAAAATTTTGGGGGTGGGGGGGGGGGGGGGGGGGTCAATACGCAACAGTATAGTGTATCTCACAAAAAAAAAACATAACCAATTCTAAGTTCTTTGACTACAGTTATTCGACGTCAGAAACCTATTAGGTGTCAAATATTTATTTACAATCAAAATTCAGACCTGTATCAAGCGCGAATATTGTGTCCATTTTTGCCCCAACTGTTCAGGGTTGGACCTCTGCGGTCGTATCCAGCTGCGCTCAGCGAAGCATTTTATTGATTATCAAAATTATAAAAATTACTGTGAAAGAACTTTCAATCGTGGAGTACCAATTTTCATGGTTTTTGTGGGTTGCTTTATCCATGAATTTAAGTGTCCAATGAAATATAACAACTGTTGTCTAGCTCAAAACATAGATGGAAAGATCCCCATGTAGGTTTGACTAAATGGATATGGGTATTGTTGATTTAATCTAGAAAATACACCGAATATAAGCAAAAACAGTATGACCTTTATTTAAAACTTCAGAGAGGATTTTACCCATTTAATCCTTAAAGAAACTTGAATTGTCCGACTTTTAACCATTAAATTCTAACAAAAAGTATAGTTTTGATCGACGAAAGTCAAATTTCCGGTGATGATATGCCGGATGATATATTGAAGTGCTCATAATTCTCATAGGAAAAAAAATCATTTTTTGCTTGCTTTTTTTAATTTCAAAAGAATTAAATTCTACAATTCAAAGTACATTTGTAGGACTTTTTATATGTAACCGTTTTCTTTCAGTGACATGTTTATGGCCCAATTAACACCTTTGATGATCATTTATCTGTTGATCCCAGGTTAATTAGTGTCATCACTTCTGATTTCACGTATGCAACATTTAAAATGTTTACTTTGCAATATCCTTCTATCGAGACAATTTGTAAGCATAGCTTATATCCAAAAGCAATTATTTTATTAAATATTCAATGAATGTTGTCATTAATGAAAGACGAACAAGTAAGTGAAAATGAACACCTTATTTTGCAATGTCCCACAAATCAATATAAAACAACAGTTAATTATTTTCAAGAACACGTTTTCTTTAAGTGACATGTTTATGGCTGAATTAACACCTTTGATGGTCGTGTATCTGTTGATCTCAGGTTAATTAGTGTCATCACTTCTGAATTCACTTATGCAACATTTAAAATGTTTACTTTGCAATATCCTTCAATCGAGACAATTTGTAAGCATAGCTTATATCCGAAAGCAATTATTTTATTAATTATTTAATGAACGTTGTCATTAATGAAAGACGAACAAGTCAGTGAAAATGAACACCTTATTTTGCTATGTCCCCCAAATCAATATAAAACAACAGTTAATTATTTTCAAGAACATCATTTCTGATGGCTTCAAATTCTTCGCTCGATTTTTTTTTCTTTAGAAAACTAAATTCCACGAATGTAAGAACCCACGAACATATAGCTTTTGCTCAAACCACGAAAATTGGTACCCACGAATAAAAGTACTTTCACAGTATGACTGATGAACTCTCTGAACTGGAGACATTTATATATATATTTATATTTAGCTCACAAAATATCAATTTCAGGCCATAATATTTTTATATCGAGCACACAAAAAAATTAATATGTGCGCACTGTATTTTATATTGAACGCACAAAATATATATTGAGCCCACACACTATATTTAGCGCACAAACTAGTATATTGTTGCACGATATATATTTTGTGTCTGCATAGATCTCTAACAGGGCTTCGTAAAAGTAAATCTACCTATATAACAGATACTTTTAACTTTCATTAATATCAGTGAGAAATTAAAACCTTGTCAATCAACGGAACCTTCTTAACTTGGTTCACGCATTTTAAATATAGTGGGTTATACTTATAGCTAGCTAAAGCTCAAACATGTATGCCAGTTGTTTATAGTTGCGTTATAAATTGACAATATTGGGTGAGCAACCCAAATTACTGACATTCAAAGTCGATTGATAACCGGTCAACATATTAATAAATCTTTTGATTGAAACTCATGATAGATAACAATGTATTTGAATTTGATGGGAAAATTTAAAAACAAATAATAGGTACGGC